ATGATACATTTCTTGTACTATACAACACATCTATCAGCATTGAGATGCGTGTAGCCCTCCAGGAAAACAACATGTGCTGCTTACCGCGGCGTAATCCTAAATTCAGGCGAATTGGATACCTGGTCAGCTGCTAGATCTTCATGCGTATCACTCCCCAGGAATAACAACTTACAGCCATTGTCACCCCAGAAAAGGCGGTGATGGCAACGAGGAAAGGGGTGAATCGCATTTTTGTAATATTTTGCTTGGATCAGGGATTTTTGAATCATTCTGTAAAGGGGAGGGCTTAGGTACCAAGCTTTTATATTGTTCTGGGTGCCAGTGTGATTAGTACAGTGTGACTAACGAAACCTGGAGCAAGATTAATAGGCTGAACCATGCCATCACAAGGCGTTTTCCAAGTGTGATACCCTGTTCCATCCCCAGTCTCCTGATACTGTCTTGCTGTACTACGTGAAATGTAGTGGAACACTAACAAGCACTCTTACAGTTGCCACTGTGACAGATGACTACCCAGTGTTACTCGGTGCCAAAGCAAGTTATCAACTACGCAAACTAGGTATTTGAGAAACCCACGCTCCACTTTTTGATTAGGCCTTTGTAGCTATCTAGAAGTCCCTCAGAACTGCAAGACCCTTACACTGATCAACAAGGCGCCTCCTGGGGGTGCTTAACTTGCTATATTTGCCTTCTAACTCTAAACTATTTAAGGTTCAGTGATCAACCTAATCTTGCTGTGATCATCTAATCTGATAAGATAAGATCAAGTATTTTCCTCGTGCTGCGCTCTTCACTATCAAGTTGGTTACCTAGATTTTAAAGTATCCTCGAGACTATTGTTGACAAGGTATATACTCTCCTGGTTGATTATTCGGTCGGTCATCAAAAATTTTATATATGGTATATTGCTGTCATGCTGTAATTCCGTTAAAAATTAAAAAAAGAATAATGTGATTAAAATAGCACTCGGAGCATTTATTATTTAACACTACAATAGCTTCTAAACCTTTGTATTATACATGGAACGGTAATCACTAATATAGATTATTACTGTAAGGCTGTCTGGGTAATAACAAACCTGGGTCTGGTTGATATCTTGAATGGGTAATGTCGGGAAGGGCAGACAATCCAAGGATAATAGAAATACCATAATTCAAATCGTTGAGAGATTCCCACGCTATCTCTGGTAGATCTTCAAGGATAAGCTATGGACATATGGCCACTTGGGCGAAGGGCCAAGTAAACCCGTTTACTAGATATTGCGTGCTGAATTATACATCTTACTGGATGGTTAGACTATTCGAGATTATCTGTCTGTCTGCCTGAAGTGCTTACTGCAGGGCCTAAACGCTCTTAGTTGATGGTAGATGTCGATATATATCTGTTATCTGGTGTTGAAAGACGGCCCTGGATATTCCTTTACTCTTGCGGGCCATCTTGAGTAACCGAGAGTTGCCGACCAAATGAATGGATAGCAGAGACCACACTGCATCGTTCATTTCTCTCTATATATTTAGGGTTGGATTGTCATTTGATTAAATATCGATCCACTAACTAACTAGTTACTTGTTCCCCGGACAATTAGTAGTTATCTTTGTCTTTTTTCTTCCCCCACAGCGTATCTATTTGAGAAGGGAAAAGGGCAGGCACCTGCTGCTGAACGAGTTAGGATATGCAAAGAGTTGGTTTTGGATTATCTGCAATCGTGTCTGTATGTCGTTCGCTGGTGACTCGTTTAGAAACGTGAGGTAGTGGGTAATTAGTTAGCTACTGGGTTTCCTGGGACGCGCCTCAACTAGTTAGTTAGTTAGTTAGTTGACGCGACATGCTAAATTGATACTCCCTGCTCAAGTCAACTGCAACCGCCAATATATTTAACCACAAGGAAACACAAATCTCAGTGACAAGACAAACGGCAGCATGGCTACAACTCCATCCATCGGCGGATCGGACTCCAACCTCGCCCTCAACCCACCATCACAACTAGAGGGTCCTTCGCCCTCGCCCACACCGTCTCACGACCCCTCCCACGAAGAGCATCAATATCTCAACCTCATCCGCACGATTATCAGCACAGGCGAACATCGTCCAGACCGCACTGGAACAGGGACTCGATCTATTTTTGCACCACCACAGCTTCGCTTCTCGCTGTCCAAGCCGTCGTCTGACCCGTCGAACCCAGACCCCGTCCCTGTCCTGCCCCTCCTGACCACGAAGCGCGTCTTTTTACGCGCAGTCATCGCAGAGCTTCTGTGGTTCGTATCAGGTTGCACATCTTCGCTTCCGCTGAGTGAAGCTGGAATAAAAATTTGGGACGGTAACGGCAGCCGAGAGTTTCTTGACAGTGTTGGCTTGTCACATCGTGAAGTGGGCGATTTGGGCCCCGTGTATGGATTCCAATGGCGCCATTTTGGCGCAGAGTATATTGATGCGAAGACAGATTATACCGGGAAGGGAGTTGATCAAGTCGCTGAGGTTGTCAGGAAGCTGAAGGAATCCCCATATGATAGGCGTATCATTCTAAGCGCCTGGAACCCAGCGGACCTGAAGAAGATGGCTCTCCCCCCATGCCATATGTTTGCACAGTTCTACGTGTCGTTTCCACCACAGAAGACAGGGGATGAGGGTAAGAAAGGGAAAGGCACATTGTCTTGCGTATTATACCAGAGATCGTGTGATATGGGGCTGGGTGTGCCCTTCAACATCGCATCATATGCGCTGTTGACGCATATGTTTGCTCACGCAGCAGATTTGCATCCCGGAACTTTTATCCATACCATGGGGGATGCACATGTGTACCTTGACCATATCGAAGCTCTGCAGGAGCAGCTTACTCGGGAGCCAACTGATTTCCCTACACTCAAGATCAACCGTACTGACCGGGGATCTGGTGAGATGGACGGCTGGAAGGACTCCGACTTCGAAGTTTTGGATTATAAACCTCATAAACTGATTAAGATGAAGATGAGCGTATGATTGCATAGACTACGTGATACACACTTGGTATTAGATCATGGACGATATGCTATGTATGGATGTTATGTGCATTATAAATGATATTAAGAGTGTATATCCAACCCTGACCGCCTAAACACCGATGCCAATATTGGTATAAAAAGGAGGCGCTATCAAGTACGAGAAAGACATGACTCTACATCTCAATCAAGTCTGGGACTGGCGGACCAACTCCCCTGAGAAGAACAATGGTATCACCCTGGCCCACGGAGCAACTACCGATCTTGTTAGAAAAATCTAGTAGTTTGCCTCCCTCGACATGGAATATCCTTAATCGATTTTCTTCTCCAGCAGAGCGGTTATTGACGTTCTGTACTTGTAACCTCCGTGCTGCATCATCTAGTATCTTGCCGACGCTCCATCCTGCATCAAAGTAGAAATCTCCGGTAGGATATTTCGCCGTAGTCGTATCGGCAGATGCTTCAACATGAAGGTAAAATCGCTTGGATGTGTCTAGGTTCGGATCACCCTTGGCGTTCTTCTTTAGGGCATTTAGCTGCGCCATTCTCGACGCCGCCGAGGGTTTTGCTTTGGATTTGGAGGATGGAGGAGCGGTAGTAGTCGAAGATTTGGCTTTACCCCAGCTCCGTAGGCGAGAGAATGCCTGTCGGGCCTTATCCGCAGATGATGTGAAGGCCACTGCTGCCGGACTGGCACCTAGTGGTGTGAGATTGCTGCAGTCATGGTCCTCCCGCATCCTGTGGGAAAGGCAGTATTCCCGGTTGCAGTTTTGGCAGTGTACGCCGGCGTTCGCCATCGTATATATGAGCGCCTTGCATGATGGATGAGAGCACTGTGTAGAGTTGTAAACCGTAGGTTTCGGCGAGAGAGTTGTAGATTCACTGCTGCCTTGCCCTGTCCGTCGACGAGCCCATTCTCCAGCCTTCAGGCATTTGTGAGTCGTTTCCGTTCGATGGTCAAGACAGAAAGTTCCCTTACACGATTCACATCTGAACGGAAGGAAATCTAGCTGTCGACAGTATTCGAACTCGCAGTGTTTGCCGATGTCTTCGAGATCACGATCGGCCATCTGGGTATAAGAATGCTGGTCTGGAGCTGAGGACGACATGGCGAAGCCTATAGGTAGATAGCTAGATGGGAGAACTATAATGAGAATATAGGTGCTAGGATAGTAGCGGAGGAGGTAAAATATAAGCGAAAACTGGCCCGCAAGGCCGCAACTGGTTGACGTCGCTTTTTTGTCATCTGCGATAAGAAGCTTCCAGCTGATCCTTATCGCTTCCACCCCGGGGATCATTGATACTCCGTGTTCCGTGATTAGTAATCAGGTACCCGAGAACTTTACTACTGAGAAATACATAATACTCTCAATTTTAATTGGTCACTTTTCGTATTATTCGTATTAGCCTCAAAAGTCTATTAATAGTCGGGTGGGCACTTTTGACGAAGCGCAGCTTAGATGCATTTTTAGATGATACGAAGGATTGAAGTGGCCGATACATTGCTCCATACATGTAGAGTCTTCCTTTGATGTAGTTAATATTAAGTATATGTGATAATATTTGAATATACATGATATCTTTGCGCTCCTGTTGCTGCTTGGGGGTAAAAGAATGGCAGTATGGCTTGGGTATTTCTAGACCCACGATAGTGGGAAGCAGCTGAAGTTTACTGGAATTAACATGCAATATGGGGTATAAAGGCTAATCTGTCTTGTGACGGGTAACGTAAGCAGAACTTGCAGAATGAACCTCAAAAAGGACAGGAAGCCAAGGGGGAAAACGCCAACAGTCGCCGTGACTCAGACAAGAGGGGAATAGGTGGTATGATTTGTTCTGGTAGTACTTCAGTCAATAGGGGGTAGGCAGGGACAGGCTGGTACATTCGCAATGTACATTGAGAAAAAAAGGGGGAAAAACCTGGGTTAAGATAAAGGGCAGAGGGTAGAAATCGGAAAGGATAATCAAAACATGAAACAAGATACTCCGTACAGGGGATAACAAAAAGAAACATATCGAAAGGAGCTAAGAGTTCGAAGGAGGGTTCTGAGAGGGCGCAAAGGGAATGATAGATGTTGCTGTGAAGACAGGCAGTTGCTGATGCGCCGAAGCTGGCGGTGAGCGGACTGTAATTGTAGGGGTCTCGGGCTCAGGGGCCGTGTCTGGTGTCAATGGAGGAGAGGGCATGGTGTTGTTATTGCCTGCGGCCTCATTTGGTGTCGGCGCAACCGACTCCTGTTCATGACCTGTGATTGGGTCTTCGTCGTAGGCCCCGTCATAGGATAGGCCTAGATTTGGTCTTCCAGGTGGGCTGGCTTTTTTAGCATTCGTCGCAGTAGAGGAACGGGCATTCGAACGTGACTGTCTTTCACTAGCCTCCTTTGCGGAAGTCTTGGCTCCAGGGGCAGCTCTGCTTGCCGGTTTGCGTTGGGATGACTGTTGTATCCCTTTTTTCCGGTCCTGGGCCAACTTGGCTTCTCGAGCTGCGTTCTCCTCGGGGCTGGGCAAGTTCAGCTTGATGTTCAGTTTCTTCACGCTAGCTGATAAATTATCGACATTTCCGCCATTTCCCTGAGGTTTCTTAGGGATATTTCTAACTGGTGTAGGAGCTAGACTGGTGGCTGCGGTTCTAGCTCTAGTTGCGCTATTCTGCGATTCAGACCCCGAGCTTGCTCGCGAAGGTGAAGGTCTCAAGGGTGTTTCACGAGTTTTAGGTTGGTTTATCTTTCCAGCTGAAGATACTGGAGACGTAGATGCAGTGGACGTCATGCTGATTCTTCGTGAAGAACGGCGAATAGAAGGCGAATTTGCAGGTTCCCCACTACCCGTCATATTTGTGCTTGGTAAATCATTACTAGAGGCGATGGTAGTCCGACGGGTGCTGACAGTAGAAGAACGGGAGCTTGCGAGACTTCCTGTAGTCGCGGCGGGGGCTTTCTGTTTTCTCTCTCTAAGTTGCATATGGCTCGTGCCTCTCTCACTGGCGCGTGGCTGTTGTCTGTTTGCCGCAGATGCCAGACGGCTAGCCGGCCGAGACTGGCTTGGAACCACTTTCAGGTCTGCATGCTGGCAACTGGCAGTCTGACGGTCCGTGGGAATGAGAGCCTTGGAGAGCTCAAAAGCCGCCGTGGCCCACTCAACTCGTGGAAGTGGCGGAGGGGAAGGCTCCCGAGTGTGATTAGAGGATGGGGACCTATGTGGTCGAGTTGGGGTGGTTACCTTTGCGGCAGATGCTTGGGTGGGAGCGGAGAAGGTCGGTGGCCCTTTTCCACGAGGCTTTCGTGGTGTGGTAGGTGGAGTGTTGACAAGGACTTCCAACTCTTCAAGTAAGGCTGGCGCCCACCAGATAGGGTCATAATTAGATGTAGATGCGCCATCTGCAGGGGTTCCATGCTTGCTTTCTTCATTCAGGCCCAGTCTTCTGTACATCTCAGCGGCAAGCCGGCTGCTGTTGGGATCTCTTTCGATCTTGATTTCGGGGCAGTCGGACAGACCAGAGAGATGACTGAAGACACCGCTGGTCAAGGCTCTGTCCTTATATCCACCTTCCAGAACTGAGATGACTCTTCCATCGACAGCGAGATCTTCTTCTTGTGCCATTCTAACAACATCGGCAGTAAATCTGGCATAGAAGTCCGTTGGAACGTTGGCTTTGTGTCGCTGCATGTTGGTTCCCTCCCACTCACTTCCATCGAAGCCAGCAGAGAGAAAGATAGCAGCCTTGGGCTGAGGTGAGTTGGGTGAAGCATTAGAACGTAGCTTAAGGGAATGAGCTCGTAGAAACGCGCGAGCCTTCTCGAGAAGAATGGTATATTTTGTCTCGTATATTTTCCAGAATTCCTGGGAGGTCTTCCATACTTCCATATGGACGTTCCATATGCTCTGCCCATGGGCCTTATCGATACAGACGCTAGCGTTCCGGATCTTAGTCTCATCTCCTTCTTCACATGGGTAAGAGTTGATATCATGCAAACTAAAGTATCCGATTGCAGTCTTTTCACATCCGGCTGCATTTTTAGCAGTAGCTCGCTCGTTCTGTTTCCAAGCGATGGCCTGAGACCCGTCGCCGTGATGAAGGTCAAAGTCGATAATGGCAGCGTGAGTGAGTCCATGCGCCATGGCAGCATATGAAATACCCACATGAACATTGTTGAGCCAACAGAAGCCGGACGGGTAGCTGCCTGAGCAATGGTGACCTGGCGGTCGAATGCAGACAAACGCGCGACGTATCGACGGAGAGGTAAATACCGAGTCAACAGCGTCACAAACACCCCCCAATGCGCCTTCAAACGCGTTCAAAGATTCAGGGCAGAGGTATAGATCCCATTCATGCAGTTGTGGAGCGGCCTTGGCTCCGGTCTCCCTACCAGAGCTGCTAGGACGAACGAGCTCCTTGCCGTTAGTTGCCAGTCTTCCCTCGGCAGCATCACACATCAGCCGAAGATCCTCCATCCATTTGGTACCATGGATGTGCGTTACCGCTGGTGAGTCCAGGGACATGGTCCGTACAGACTTTCTTATCTGAAACGGAGGAGCCGGGAGCCGTTGTAGGTCGAGGTTTGGGTGGGGCGCAAACTCGTTAGAGCCATAACGAAGGCCCATGCGGATAAATGCAGCAGCCACACCGAGGATGCTGGCCTGCATTCTCTCTGGCCGTTCGACGATGAGATTCAGGTCGTCCTTGCTGGTGCGCGGGCGCGAGAATCGATGGCCATAACAGGCATCCTGAATAATGACGATAGTGCGGGACTGTAGTTCCGTAGTCTGGTGAAGGGCTAGCTCTCGGCCCCAATACTGAGCAGCTATTTCCGATGCCGTCGGGGTTGGAGGGGGCGCCATCTCTGCGAGGGGTGAAATAGGCCGCCCTGACGCGCCAGGGGACGACGCCAGATGTTGCGCCGACGAACGCCGCGAGAGACTCTGACGTGGAGAAGATGAAGAGGCCGTCAGATTCTGTACTGATCGAAGGGAGCTGATCGATGCTCGCTTCTGCAATGACTGTGTCGAGCTGCGTCTCTCGTCACGCAGGGACGTGGTGCTGGTGGTCCTTCGCGGGGCGCGTTGCTCCTGTTGCTGCTGCCGCGAGGGCGGACGGGCGCCAGGGTCGTTTCTCAATATGTTATGGGTTGTCTCCGGCTTGTGATATGGAGACTGTAAGGGTGAGAGAGAGGGTGAACGTGTCTTGTTGTTATTCTTGTTGTGATCATTCATGGTGGTGATGTTGAGCTTGTTGAAGCTCTTAAGTAGCTCCTCCTGGCCACTGCACTGGCTCGAACGCTGCTGCGGCGAGGCCATAATGGCGGAGAGTAGAGCCTCATTCACCTCCTATTGTCCTGTAACCACCATCAGCATCAGCTTGCTACTAAGATGTGCGGATTTCCACTTACTCTGTCTTGTCCCTCAAGGTGGTCTTTGTTGCTGGAGTCAAGAGCAACAACATCCACATCTATAGACGTTGCGAAACTTAACCTCCTATCAAGGTGCTTAGTCAGCTGTCACTTTTACATCTACTTACACCTTCTCTGCTGGTGTCCTTCTTACTTTTACCCTGATTATTACCCATTATCTACTCTATTTAGCTAATATCTCCTCACTGATGGGAGTCGCAACTTTTTATGGCTGGTATTGTAGACAAAAGTCCATCTCATCTGAATATCTGCCCTGTAGCAAAAATTATGATTGGCTGATTTCTTTAGACTCTGGTTGGTTATAAATAGAATGAGACTAGCTTCTTTTGGTTAGTGATGTACATCACAACAAACAACCCCTTTCGGAGCCCCTGGAGGGCCCCCCTATTTTGACGATGATCATGAAGGGGATGCAGAGGAGGAAAGGCCCTTGCAGTTCTTACGTGAATAATGAATGCAACATACTCCGTAGTAATCAACGAGATTCTAAAGCTCTCTCGTGCTACAACTGTCAGGGAGATTTGCCGGGACGACCAGGACTGTGCTCAGGATGATGGAGCTCGATCACGAAAAGCGACCAACTCCTCATCAGTTCTTTGAAGATGAATAGTACTGCCTCCATTAAGTTCCAAGGATCGGGAATACGGGACCTTGCCGCTAGCATATTATATGATTGCACCTAGCCCTCCAGGGTCCTTGAGGGTAAGGGAAAAGGGGTGTAGAACTATGTGTTGGAAACAGCCAACTTGTAGGGTGTTTTTGCCTGCAGAGATTGCAAGTACCGGTAATAAGGGGTATCATGGATCTAGGTACTCCGTATTGTATAATCCGTACGGAGTAGTTATCCCAGAAAGACCATATTGACGTAAGAAGAGGTAAATTGCGGCTGTGAATGGGTCGAAACAGAGCAAGGAGTGCACCATGATCGTTGATGTAGGCCTCTTGCCCTCCAGAGCTTTACTCCATAGCATATCATGGTTTATCTGTATGGTTAGCTGGATTAGTAAATGCTTATGTTATTTGTAATAATAGCAGAGATGAAGAATGCGGTTTCCTTCTATTTTATCATCTAGGCAGACTGTGGCTGGCAATAGGATAGATAGAATAATGAAGGAGACGAAAGCAGGAAAAATACTACGGAGTACGGAGAGAGAAAGGGGGGGGGAGATGGGTAATAAAAGCCGTCTACATCGATACCCATAGAGGCCGGGGGAGAATTCCATCGGGTTTGCTGCCTGGAAATCCCCGGCCAGCAGCAGCTAGAAGGCCTTGTGAGACCTCGTCGATCCCCACATACGCTTCACGGCGAGGAGGATTGCCAACAGTCACGGACCATGTTCGAAGGCCGTAGTAAGATGCCAGAGAGTGAACAAGCCATCGTCTAACAAATTAGTCACACTCTTTAGACACTGGTTTGTATCCAAGAAGAATAAAAGACTCACCCGAAACCAGCAGCTCGATCTTCGGCTGGGCTTTCAAACACCATCTTCTCGCCAGACACCGCTCGAGATGACCGTCTCTGTTTTCGAGTAGAGGGATTCACCTTGCGACCAGCAAAAACAACCTCATCGTCGTCACTTGAGCTGTTATCACTACAGCAGTCACTCTCTGATTCTCTCGTCTGTCGCCAGGTCCGGGTCTCAATCCATTCTTGCACAAACAGCCGGATCTCCTCTTCTAGCTCCTGAACCAGTCCTCGCGCAGCTCGAGCATGCTTCAGTTTAGCCCGCAACTCCTTGGATATCTTATCGAGCTCAGCATTGGGATGAGAGGCCTTTGCATCTCCGTGTGCCTTTTCCTTCTTCTTCTTCTTCTCGGATATGCCCTGTTCCCTCTTCGATTTGCGACGGGCTTGTTCCTTTGCGGCTTGATGGGAGTCCCAGAGAGAGGCGAGATAGTAGGGGACCGGATTATGACGTGGATACGTAGGTTGGATTTCCCAGTCGTTTGCTGATGGAGGCTGAGCCCACGGATTGCTCAGCAGACGGTCTATTAAGAGGTCAAATAGGTCAGTCATTCCACCCACCCAGTTAGAGTACCGTGAAGAAAAATGAAGATGCGACGTACCGTTCTCCCAGCGCTGCCGTCGTCGGCTTCCTTCCTTGCCCTTGAGCAACGACTCGCGACGCTTCAAGCTATCGCGGCGCAGTGGCTCTCTGCGTCTGTATGTCGATGACCCAGCAGCAGTAGCAGAGCCGGTGCCGGTGGTGTCCTCTGCAACGCGGACGCTGCGTCTCAACCGTACAGGAGTAGGCGTGGCCGGCTGCGGCACGTCATCATCCAGCGGGATGGTCAGGGGCGCGGAATTGCGATAGGGAATCGGCGAGGACTCGAGAGACAGGCTCTCGATGGCCTGCTCCGACCAGCTTGAGATCGCGTAAACCTGCTGCGGCGTGAGAGCGTTCGACGTTGTTGCCGTTGACCCAGGTGCCGGGCTAGCGTTGAGGGTTGGATGGACCGCCATCGCAGCGATGGCCAAAGATGTAGTTTGTATACTGATGTATACCTATAAGGAACAGGCTGGCTAGTGATATTAATAGGTCTCCGTCTGCTAGCATGGAGGTCGGGGTCTCGTATCTCTATGACTCGCTGTGAATCATCCTTTTTTTATCATTTCCGCCGCCGAGATCGCCCGGGCCAATCGTCGCTTTTGGCCACAGCATGCCTTTGCACCGCTCGCTGGGGACACACAGCCAACTTTGTATGCGATACCCCAGCCAACTATGCGAAAGGATGCGCAGAGGTCACGTATGCAGGAAGGCAGGAGCCGGAGTAAGAGATAAATGATTGAATATATGATGAATTTTTTTAAGTATATATCAAGAATATATGTACGGAATATGGCTATGTACAGGGTTGGTGCACAATAAATGTACAATATTGACAGGATGGAGTATAATCCGATTTACTTGGCGAGCTCAGTGACGAAGCCGACAATGAGCTTAGCGTGCTCGATCATGTGGTCGAAGTCGAGGTAGTCGATGGTGTCAGAGTCAGTGTGGAGGTGAGGGTCGAGGAGATCGATGGGAGACTCGGCAACCATGGCAGATGGGTAGCCATTGCGGTTAGCAGAGGCGTGGTCAGAGCAAGCATAGCCGCAGCGGGTGTCGATGGTTGGGATTGAGCAGTACTTAAGAACGTTATTAGGACATTATTTTATCAATAAAAATATTTATCAAGGGTTGAAGCTTACCTTGCTGATGACCATGCGGACGAACTTGGTCAAGTTAGCGTTGACGTTGTCGGTGATAATACCGAAGGACACCTTGAGGCCCTTGTCGACCATTCCCTTGATGTATCCGGTCATGTCCTGGTTGAGCATGCCCTTGACCTTCTTGCCGGTCTGTTTGTAGTTGGCGAAAATGGCCTGGGAGCCGAGAAGACCAGCTTCCTCACCGGCGTACCAGTGGAACTCAATGGTGTTGGCAGCCTTGCCCTGGACGATGGTCTGGTCCTGGAGAACACCGCGGAGGGCCTCAAGGATGGTGACGGAGCCACTTCCGTTGTCATCGGCACCTGGAGCGCGGCCGGTCATGGGGCTGCGTTGGTTAATGCTGTCTTGGTGAGCACCGACAACAACGATTTCAGGGGAGCGGCCTGGGATGGTGGCAACGATGCTGTGCTGAGCCCAGTTGTGTCGGAAGCTGACGACCTTGGCACCGTAGCGGCTGGCGCCAGCGCTATTGATGGCAGCCTGGACTTGCTCCTGGAGCCAGGTGGCAGACTGCTTGCCAAAGTCAGCCTTGTAGTAGCGGTTGTGGAACGAGCTGAGCTTGGTCAGATCGCGCTGCATGTTCTCCTTGGAGAGGGTAGCAATCATGGCGTTAACAGCATCAGCATGGCGGATGGAGGTTGGATAGGCAATGGCTGGCTGTGCAACAGCAGCAGTGAATCCAACCTCCTCGTCAGTGATGTCAAAGAAGTCTTGGCCCTTCTAGAATGGGTGTTAGTAACCAGTATTGTCTGGTGAACATACAACTTTTGCGTAAGATAGTGGTACATACCCGCTTAAGCTCCCACTTCTCCTCCTCGGTAACCCAGCGAGTCTCACCAGGAGCAAGTTCGATGAGGAACTTCTCGGCCCGGGTGTCAACAGGAATGCTAGCTCCGAGGACGGAGGTAGCGGTAGCGCTCAGCGCAAGAACAGAGAGGAGCTTCATGGCTAGAGAAGAGCAGTCAGCAAGATGCCGATCGGGGCTGCAGGTAGGTAGATGGTATAGTAGAACTGTTGTGACTAACCGTCAGGTAGATCTTCGGGAGATAGACAGTCTATCAGGGGTAAGTATGGGGAAAGAGAGGAAGGGATAGAGATACTCTCGAAGATCAGCTCTGAAGATCTGTTCGATGCGTGCGAGGAATCTTTTCAGAGCAGATCGACAGCACCTCGGGGGATATTTATATTCGCTTCCATCCCCTACAAAGACCTCATCTGATGGCGGCGGCAACGGCGGCGATGACCAACCGTATCATGACGGCTAACTATGTGACGGATTACGGCGGCCAAAAAGAGAGGAAGCAAGATAGGCCTTCTTCATCCTTTGCCCCCTTCCAGACCCGCATCACGCCGTGGGTATTTGGCCAGACGGTCCGGAATCCTACCTGAAGAGTTCCGCCCATGTGCAACAAGCTGGAAACCCAGGATGCCCCATGATAGTGTCGTGAGCCTAATTGATATCCGGATAAGATGGTGTGGTATCAGGAAAGATAGCCTGCCTGGGGTTGACGGCGGCAAGGAAGGAAAGGGGAGGGAAAAAGGCAGAGCAGCTGGCCCCCAAGAAAGCCAGCTTACCGGCTAGTTTGTCGGTGGTATGATGATACCATCTCTAGCCACGCGACCCCAGAGATGGTCGAACAAGTCAACATCCTGCAGTGGGTACGCCAAGTAGAAAGCAAATTGAAGGAGAATGCAAGATAACTTTCTTGCAACGCGGGGGGAGGGGGGAGTTCGCAGTAGTTCACCGTCCAGAATATGGGGTGCAGCGCCCAGCTTATATATCTATCATCACAACATCTTATGTTATAATAAGGGGTATATTTTCACAGATTCAATGCGTCTCACATCCGTCTGGAGAAGAAGAAACATTGCTGAGCGTGATCTGGACCTGGCGAGGCGTCGGCTTCCCGGTGATGGAGAACCTGATCGACCGGCACTGTGATCGACCAGCGGGATCGAGGGTGACCCTCCTTCGAGAAACATTCCAGTTGCCTTCGTTTCCTCGGGTTATGGTTTTGTTTTTTTCCCTGGTTCCATATTTCATTTTGAGTTGAGCAGGCCTCATCTGCGCTTGTCCCGTGCCCCAGCCAATGGGCAACGTAGACAGGCGAAGGAAGGGATCGTTCTTATTAATACCAAGACCATCCCTCGGGGGAAAGGTATCATCTTGGCTGTTTCGACTTAGCTATATATAAACATATATAGTGTGCATTATAGGGCGCCTGAAGCGCACCAGGGGCAGGCCGTCTTTTGATATCAGGGAGAGCGAGCGTAGGAAGCCAGTTTTGATTTCCCGTTGCTTGTCTCCGTGTCTGTATCCTCCAGCACCCCGAGGCAAGGCTAGTGAAGTAGCATTCGGACATGTACCGAATCCAGTCATGAACCCGCGATAACAACACGCCTGCGGCATCTCGAACGCCGTCGCTGTCGCCATCTTTGTTTATCTAGGTTGTCTTCTCCATCTTTTTTTCCTGTTGACGTCGAAATAAAAACCAAGAAGTCAAGATAAGGTGATGACTAAGATGATGACTAATATGGTAACTCTAAATTCCGCTGACTAATCCCGTGCTTAAGCGTGCCATGTGACCGACCCCGCAAACTTGCCTAAACGGGACATGCATACACAGCATACACGGGCGGCGGTCCAAGCTGCATCGCTGGTACTTAATTTCTGGTGCGAGCCCCCGCAAAAGCCAAGTACCAGCTATGCCGCGAGTCCCATGCAGCCATGGGCGCACAGGGACGTCAGCTGCCTCTCGCTGCCCTGGCCTGATTGCTTCAGCCTGCCCAGCATGCGCCGACACGACGCAAAAGGAGAGGATGAGAAGAGCGTCAAGCCTTCGGACTATCCCAACTAGCGCTGCAGGAAGAGTTTACCAAGCAAGCCAATTCAAGCTCACTAGCAGGAGAAGGGTTTAGCTGCCTGACGACCTTGTTTTTGCGCTGCTGCTGCTGTTGCCGCTGCTGCTGCGGGGGTGCGACAGGAGAACGACCTCTGGAGAACATCCCCAAGACCGTCAACTCGTCAGCGAGGCACGTCAACATCAAACATCACATCCATACTTACATCCGAGATAGCGAGTAGAGGCAGATAGCAGCAGCTCCGACAAACATGGCAGACTCGACAGTTCATACTTGTGAGTAGCCCGAGACGAGAAAGTGAAGCAAAGACAAGCATCATCTCAACGCTGTTTTGGCCTATCGGCCGCTGAGCTGGCATGGTTTACTCATCTTCACCCTAGACAACCCCTTCGTCAAGCGTTCGTCGTATCAGCGCAGCTCAATCTGGGCTTACCAGGCTGCCAGCACGATCTCCTGGCTGCTCGTCGTTGGCTTTGGCATCTACTCGGGCACTCATCGCAAGCACCACGGCACGCCGGAGAAGGGGGATGGCGATGCCCTCCAGGCCCTCGCTCACGACGACCACCTCAATGCCTTCTCCCAGACCAAGGTCGTCACTGGTATATACTGGTTAGTTGCTCTATTGGGAAGTAATGCGGAAAGAGAGGATGGTAATAGGCCTTGCTGATAACCCTTTGACAGGATAATTCTGCTCATTTCTCAGCTGGGTTATATCGGTCAGCTCTGGAGCTCAGATGAACAGCACGTTACTACGGCCGCCAATGTGGCTCCGTACTTTGTGCTCAATAACCTCTTCGTTCTGGCCTTTACCTTGCTCTTCACGCATGCTAAGTTCTGGTGGGCTGAGGTCTTTGATATCTTCAGCTTGATCAACCAGGCCACTCTCTACTGGAGCTTCCCAGGCCTGCACCCATTCATCCACCTGCCAGTTGTAGCTGGACCATATGCCTGGTCTCTGCTCACCCTCTTCTGGAACGGTGCCGTAGCTGTTGGCAGCAACAGTACCCCCTTGAGACTCGTGGCCAATGTCTTCATCTGGGTATTCTTCGTCTATGGACAGGCTCACATTGTCATCCGTAACGATCAGTACCTCGGATACGCCCTCAGTTTGCTTACCTTCTGTAAATCCCCCCCACCACCCATTCCAGTTTTAAAACAAGAATATAAGGCGCTGACTCTGACTTCTCTAGCTCTCTCGCTCAAGCAACTGGCTATCAAGATCATCTCTCTGCAGTGGATCTTTGCCTTTACCATCTTCGGTATCTTCGCTGCTTCTTCACTCTACAGTACTGTTACCAACTTCCTCGGCCTCAACTTCTTCCTCATTCCCCACGAGGAGCCAGAACAAGGTGACCGTGAGCGTGAGCCTCTTCTCACAAACGAGTAAGCAGCACAGTTGACCTCTGCCATCGTAAATGTGACTAATGCTTGAGTGCCAATCTGACACTCAACCGGACTCTCTTGACCACCTGGACCATATCTCTACTAACCCTGACTCTAATATTTCAATATCTCTTTGGTGCGAGTCTATCTACCCACTTAACCAGAAACATACAACTATATATCACCGCTCCATCAAATACGTATACGAGGCAAGACGAGACCCGAGGGATGCCGCTCTGCTCCCAGGTTGGAGGTTTCATTCAAGTAATCATGTCTCGGAAATTATCGTCATCTTTCACATAATATTCCGCTTCTCTACTTAGCCGGCGTGTTCGTGATCTCGTCTTAATATCTGTAATTACTGCAAGTTTTCATATGTGGTAATGTCTATTTTCTATTTCGTATTTCCTACATAAATTGCCAATGTCATTCTCAAGTCCATTTTCTTCTGTGCCTCGCTCTGGTAAACGTTTGGTTGTCCATCTCCTTGGATCTGGAAACGGGCCGAAGAGCTTGCCGCTTTCGCCGTCGGAGTCCTGATCTGGGTTTCGCCCTGCCAAGGCGTGGAGTCGAGTCTTTCTTTTCTTCTTTGATCTCCGTCGGTTACCATTTTCAGATCCAGACGGGTATACATATAAAGCACCGCTGTTCAAGTATGAGGAGCAAGCAGTTCACAACTTTCTTGTGGGAATAGCTAAATTTGACAGAAACTATTAAGACGACAGTAAGTTTTAGGTATGCCGCGCCCCATCGTAATAGACCTGCTAACAGCACAGCAATGGCTACCATCTACTCCCATCTTTCCGAGGCAGAGCAGAATCTCATCGAGGTGGCAACCAAGACGATAGAGGCCATCCCCCTATCTGAAGATTACAGCGTTGGTAGTGCTGCGCTCGCAGAAGACGGCCGTATATTCACTGGCATCAACGTCTATCACTTTACCGGCGGACCTTGCGCTGAGCTTGTTGTCCTGGGGGTCGCTGCCATGGCCGGGCCACCCAAACTCACACACATCGTCGCCGTAGGAAACCAAGGGCGAATGATTCTCAGTCCGTGCGGGCGTTGCAGACAGGTCTTGGGTGATTTGCATCCAGATATCAAGGCGATAGTACGGGTTGCTGATGGGTCAGTCAGAGTCGAGAAGGTGCAGGATTTGCTGCCAGCGAGATATGTCGTACCGGACACCACCGTTGAGAGCATCTAGAGAGTCTCCATCAATCTCCTTCTACAGCTATTTTATAGTCCAAAGGCTCGTCGTTTTTCTCGAGGTTTCCTTCGCTTCTTCATGTAGATAGATTTAGAGTTACCGCCCGGCTTAGTCAGCCGGGTTGCCATGACAACGTCGAGTTTACATCGGAAAGCCGCAAAGATGAAAGCAACGCGAGCGCTAAAAGTTCTACAAGACTGCAACTCCAGCTTCAGGTTGATCGTCTGGCATATATACAGGACTTATTGCCTCTGATATACCCATAGTTGACTTGTCTGTTGACATTCTCACCGATCTGGTTCTACCTAATATGCCATATAACTGATCTAGATCGACCATCTACATCTCCATCCTCCATATTCGACGCCAGCTCCGCCAGAAACGACTGTAGTAACGCACAATGGACCAGACAGGAGGCCATTCGGCTCCTCCTGGCTACAGCGAGGAGCCTCCGTCTTACTCACAACCCAACAACTACGACGATAACGATGATATGAGAACCTCCATGACCGCGGCTGGAGCGAACGCCTCCGCGACGATGCGCCTGCTACCCGCTGGCTCAGGAAGCGATTTGAACGAAAGCTACGAGACCTACGACACCTATGCTGCTGGTAGTGACCTTGGAAGCGCGCAGTTTGGAATGCAGAGGTCTTCGACATTGCAGCGTCAACAGTATGTAGCATCTCAACCAGAAGAAAGCAGTACACAGCAATCACCGCCAGACGCAGCTTCAGGCAACAAGATACCAAAAAAGTCGCCTGCTACACTTTTCAAAACCACAAAACCAGTCAACTCCCCTTCCTCTGCCTCTCCTAACCCCCATCTCCTTGCCTTGCCCCATGACATTCCTCTTATGAACCGCTCAAAGCAAAATCCCCCCAGTCCCTCCTCCAGCACCAGCCCTATCAAAAACATCACAGGGGGTATTACATCTTCGTTGCGTTTATGTCACCCTGCTGTTCCTGCTCCACTACGTTTGGCAAGCCCAAAACCACCATTGACTCTAAGACCGAAGCGTCAAAATGATAATCTTGTCCTTGACGGCTTGATTCTTCCCCCAGTCCAAACCACTAATGGAGGAGCATTGTCATCCATCCAGGAAGCAATTGATGAATTAGAAGCTGACCAAAAATTAACTAGCTCTCCTGTATCCCCCTCACGATCGTCATCCCAACGTTATCGTCCCCTCCAGCATCAGCCCTCAATAGCAGGGGCTCCTACTTCACAACCTGCCTCTGCTATAGGCCAGGCTCCAGTTATCCCACCTCCAGGAGCAGCAAATGTCGATGGAACCCAATATGCTTCACGTCCACCTTCGCCTACCAGGCCGTGGAGTCCTTCTCGTAACACTGCTGGCTGGCAACGGCGCCCATCATCTGTTTCGAGCATTCATTACGAACCGCCAGACATCAACGGCAGTCCACGCCCAGGAACTCCAAGTTTAAGATACGGAGGGAGCCCAAGACGCCCACTCCCCCCAGCACCGTTGTTCTCTGCGCCAGCTCCTGCTTTATCCAGTGAGACAACTATTAATATTGGAGAAGGTGATCAATATGACGGGTCTGACGACGTGTTTGGAGGCAATGGTAGAACCATAAGCCCCAAACGTTCGTCCCATGGCAGTCTTAGATCGTACGGATCATACTTCAGTGAATCTACCATGGTGACGGAGGAAAAGGAACATATGAAAAAGGGTAACTTGGATGATGACGACGAAGGCTATGGTGAAGTCTATGCCCCAGCGCCCACTGGCCGTCAGGACAGAAGAGGTGTGAGACAGGCTTTAATGACGAAGAAGGAAGTCAAGCTTGTTAACGGAGAGCTTATCCTGGAATGTAAAATTCCTACCATTTTGCACAGCTTCTTACCACGGAGAGACGATCGAGAATTCACCCATATGAGGTACACTGCTGTCACTTGCGATCCCGATGACTTTGTAGCAAAGGGATACAAGCTTCGTCAAAACATCGGCAGTACTATGAGAGAAACGGAACTGTTTATATGCGTTACGATGTATAACGAAAACGAAATCGACTTCACCCGTTCGATGCATGGAATCATGAGGAACATCTCTCACTTCTGCTCCAGAACCAAGTCACGAACTTGGGGAAAAGATGGATGGAAGAAAATCGTCGTTTGCATTATTGCTGATGGACGACACAAAGTCCATCCTCGCACTTTGAATGCTCTTGGTGCCATTGGTGTGTATCAAGACGGTATTGCGAAGAACATAGTCAACCAGAAGGAGGTTACCGCTCATTTGTACGAATACACGACCCAAGTCTCTTTGGATCCTGACTTGAAGTTCAAGGGTGCCGAGAAGGGTATCGTGCCTTGTCAGATGATATTCTGTCTCAAGGAACGAAACCAGAAGAAGCTCAATTCTCATAGATGGTTCTTCAATGGGTTTGGCCGTGCATTGAACCCCAATGTTTGCATCTTGCTTGACGTTGGAACGAAACCGGAACCTACTGCCTTGTACCATCTTTGGAAAGCATTTGATCAGGACTCCAACGTTGCTGGTGCTGCTGGAGAGATCAAAGCCGGCAAAGGAAAGGGATGGGTCGGACTACTCAACCCTTTGGTTGCATCTCAGAATTTCGAGTACAAGATGTCCAATATTTTGGATAAACCGTTGGAATCTCTGTTTGGATATATCACTGTGCTGCCCGGTGCATTGAGTGCTTACCGATACCATGCGCTGCAGAATGATTCCACCGGTCATGGCCCTCTTAGTCAATATTTCAAGGGAGAGATGTTGCACGGGAAGAATGCTGATGTCTTCACGGCTAACATGTATCTTGCGGAAGATCGTATTCTCTGTTGGGAGTTGGTTGCTAAAAGGGATGAGCAATGGCTATTGAAATTCGTCAAGAGCGCTGTTGGTGAAACCGATGTTCCAGGTAAGTTGTTCAACTCAAGCAGCATTTACTAGAGCGTTTAACTAATGAATTGTGTCAGATTCTGTGCCTGAGTTTATTTCTCAGCGTCGGCGATGGCTTAATGGTGCCTTTTTCGCTGCTGTTTATTCTCTGATTCATTTCAGACAAGTTTGGAAAACGGACCACACAGTTGCTCGAAAGATTTTGCTGCATATTGAATTTATTTATCAATTCGTCAGCTTGGTCTTTACATTTTTCTCTCTTGTAAGTCGAACTAACCATTACATTCAGCTTCTCAGGCCTGCAGAATGCTAACAGGTTGTTCCACCTATTAGGCCAACTTCTATATCACCTTCTACTTCGTTGCATTAGCTGTTGCGGATCCAAAGATAGATCCGTTCGGACATGGAATAGCCAACATCATTTTCATCATCTTGAGATATGCCTGTGTCTTGCTTATCTGTCTGCAATTTATCCTTTCCATGGGTAATCGACCCCAGGGGTAAGTCAATCAACGCTTCACTCCATCGAATTGGAAATATACTTACTTTCATCAATAGTGCGAGGAAAATGTTCTTGAGTGGAATGATCGTATACAGTATAATCATGATATACACCACTTTCGCTGGTTTATACGTCGTCATTCGTCAATTCACTGCGAAGGAGAACAAAAGCAAGTTGACTCTGGGACAAAACGTATTCACTAACGTGATTGTATCGACCCTGTCAACTATTGGTCTGTACTTCGTCATGTCGTTCATCTACCTTGACCCCTGGCACATGTTTACCTCATCGGCCCAGTACTTTGCCCTGTTGCCGAGCTACATCTGTACGCTTCAGGTCTATGCCTTCTGCAACACTCACGATGTTACCTGGGGTACAAAGGGAGACAACGTCTTACACACTGATCTTGGTGCGGCACGTATCACGGGCTCCTCAACAGTCGAGCTTGAAATGCCCTCTGAGCAACTCGATATCGACAGCGGATATGACGAAGCATTGCGCAATCTTCGAGACAGACTCGAGGTCGAGAAACCAGGCTTATCCGAGTCCCAGATGCAGGAAGATTACTACCGTGCTGTGCGAACGTACATGGTTTCTGTATGGCTGATTGCCAATGCTATTCTAGGCATGGCCGTGACGGAGTCGTACAGCAGCAAGCACATTGGAAGTAACGGTTACCTGGCCTTTGTGCTCTGGAGTGTTGCTGGTCTGGCTGTGTTCCGTGGCATCGGTTCTACAGCCTTTGCAATACTCAACCTCGTCCAGATGATTGCTGAGGGCAAGATGAAATTCAGCGCTGGCAAGTTCTCTATTGGTAGCAGTTCAGGAAGCACTAGTGCTCCCAGTTCAATTGGAAAGAGGATTCCACACAGGAGTATTAAGCATAAAGTTACTGACTTCTTTACCGAAACTGGCTGGACTATTCAGCGGCACTTCAACAAGGTAGCTTACAAGGCAGCCTTTTGGAGGAGATAAGCACCGTCTATTTTAATCTTGTCTGACTCCATTATTGTTCCAACTGTTCAAAAAAGAGGGGTGCGTTTGGGAGATTTCTTTTTTTTTTTTATTTTCTTATTTCTTGATTGTTTCTTCCTTTTGTGCATGTTGAATCTTGATGGGAAGTATACATACCCAAATGTGCGGCCGTGGTGTTTATTGGATGTGTTTTATGTATAATTTATGTTTTGTGAATGCTTTTTATGATAATGAGGAATTTATCAGATTAATGATTTGTTCTATTCCTTTAAATTTGAAGTAAACAAAAAAATCAACTATGTGCAAGATGTATCAACCAACGCTGATCTATAGCTAAGAGACAGCAAATAGGGAAAATCGACCAACCAACCATACGCTCAGTATATAACTAGTAGAGCATCGCTTACATGCTATCCTCTCTCCACTTACTTCTGGTCTTATCCCAGGCCGCCTTCTCCTCCTGACCGTGTAACTCATCCATACCTACTCCCAGGCCACGCTCAACCCACTGCTTACTTTCCATCTCAGCTAAGCGGGACAAAGCTCGAGCGAATGCGAAGCGTTCTTCGTCCCCACTGAATATCGAGCTTGCCTTGAGCTGATCCATGGTAAGGCCTAGATCGTCCATGAGATTGCGCATGTCAGCTTGTAGTTCGTCGTTAGACGAGGTATCACCGTCCTTGGAAGAGGCTTTTTTGATATCATCATCCGACAGAAAAAGGTTTCGTAGCGGTACTGCAGATGTGAGGACCAGTTTTGCCTATTACGAAATTAGTATGGGCTCGTAGCATGTTTCTACGAATAGGAAGGGGAAAAATGCTTACCCTGCTCTCGTACACTGCGTCGATGAAAGTGATGAATCGTCTCGCTAGATCTCGTTGATGCAGACCCATGGCAGGAACATCAGTGATAATGAAGGAGTTGTAATGGTTCATAAGCTCAATGTAATCCGCCGCACTGGTGGCACGGCCTATGATCTCGTTAAATGCGAACCGAGCTGCTTTTCCCGACGCTTGCGGAACATGTACGGCTCTCCCCCAAACTTCATGCACGGCAGGATGAGGAGGGTCGTTCTCAAAGTCACCTAGGTACCGGAACCATTTATCCGCATGGTGCTCGGCAGCTATGTCCATCGGATTATGATAGACACCTGACGGCGGACGAGGGATTTTGCGATAATCCGTTGACGAGTTTAGGTTTATTACCGTCAGCGCTGTCTTGAGCAGGTGAATGCAGGGTATGAACGATTCGCGCTGGATTCCGTTCTTGTATAGATCGTCAGGGTGTCTGTTGGAAGTAGTCACCAGCACCACGCCATGGGACATGAGAGATTCAAGTAGACGCCGCAGAATCATAGCATCAGCTACATCTGTGCATTGGAATTCGTCGAAGCAAAGCACGCTGGATTTCTCAGCTATATCTGCCGCCACGAACGGGACGCCGTCGACGTCCGCGCCCTGTTGGGATTTGACGGCGAATAACCGCTTGTGAACATCTTGCATGAAATTGTGGAAGTGTATTCTTGTCTTAGAGGTGATGGAGGGAGGGAGCGTGTCGTAAAATAGATCCATGAGCATTGTCTTGCCGCATCCTACGTCTCCATGCATGTATAGGCCCTTGGGCATGTTGGCGGGTATTTTGGTTGTCTCGGCTGGTTTGGGGGTGTTGTTGAATAGCATGCCGAAGAAGGAGGATTTGGGTGGTTGCGGGTTAAGTGATTCTAGGGTTGGGTGGATGACGGTGGGCGCCTTGTAGTTGCATAGCATGTCATGAAGGTCTTGTAGGTGTTGTATTATTGCTGCCGCGGGAAACAATGTTAGTATTGTAAGTTGCGTTTGAACTGGAAGGATAAAATAAAAGGCTGCCTACCTCTCTGATGGTCGTCGTCTCTCAGGAGGCCTGCCTCAACACGACTTTCATATTCCTGCAGTGGCCCATGGGCAGCATCGACCTTCTTCTCTTTCTCGTCCACCGCTGCGGCCGTTGACATCCCCATCTTCATGCTCCCTCCCGCGCCCCACTGCCCTTCGACATGCCCCCTCTTTAGCCGGGTTACATGCTGAAGAGCCCTCGCGCTGCCGTTCCCACTCGAACATATCAGGGACGCAGATGAGCTACCATAGTTTCGAACAGCTCTGTTCAAACACGATGCGCAAATGGTGTGTCTCGGGGTTCGCGCAGCCAGTCGCATGGTAGATAACGGCCGAATCACAGGCGTCATATTTGTCTGGGCGCCACCGTAACGCCTTTCAATTCTTTCTATATATCTAACAAGGTCGTAATATCACGAACTCCGGCTTCGAGCCATGTAGTTTGCTGTGCTGCTGTATATAGATCGAGACGATAGAACGGCCGTCGGACATCGGATGGCGAGTGTTCGGGTAACTAGCGGAGAGTAAAGGAAACAAAGTCAAATCAAGCTGCAGACATAACTCTCTAGCAAACGAGTAGTCTATTCTAGTGTCACCAACGAAAACTTCAAGCTGTGTGTCTATAAGTTGTAAGTTGATGGTTGTTTCTTCGTCTTTTGGCCGGTAAAAAAGATGAAAAGTCCTGGTTTCCTGTTCGGGACTAGCGCGACATCCACTTTGCCGAGGCACGAAGCCTGCAGTCAAGACTAAGACTATCGTTTAGTAGATTTAAGATAGATTAAGATGGAGATATAGATTAATAGATAGTAGAGGATACAGATGCGATTCATGACTGCCAGTAAGAGACTTTTCCCCCTTGCTCCGGCCCAGATAGACGAATACTCAGAATACAAACGAGACGCGAGGACCAGATATAAAAAAGACCAGTAGAACGGAAAACAAAGCAGGAAAACAAGACCCTAACGGCCGTTAACATAGGGGAATACGGAAAACGAAAGCAAACGAGGAACGAGACATAAGGACGTAAGACATGGTAGACTCTAGAAACGTAGCGTAGCAGGTTGCATGAGGTATTTGGGGGGATATCCGACGTAACAGAGATAAGAAAGGAGATAGATGACAGGTATATGCGACAGAAGAGTGTATCCATATGGCGAGACCGGCAGACAGGTAGACATAGATGGGGATATATGGAGAACAAAGTAGAGATAAAGCCAGGGAACGCCGAGAAAACGAGGAAGGGAAAAAAAGTGGTATAAAGGGAATCCAGGATATAGATAGCAGATGAGATAGAAATGGTAAAAGTCGAAAAGGAGGAGAAGATGCGGCCGTAGAATAGGAGAAGGGACGGATGGGAAGGGATGGAGGAGATCACGGTGTGCTGACGTAGAGCATGAGTTTGGCGTTTCGACGAATAGCAGTTTCCAGGTCTGCGTCTCCGAGTAGCTCGACAAACGAGTTTGACGGCTCATCCTTGTACCGAATGATCATGGAGTCGACCTTGAGTCTATCCCGCAGCTTATCGGTTAGCTGCCGTAGGTTGATATCGTCGGGTACACGGATGACGATGATGTCGTCTTGGAAGAAGACTTTGATCTTTATCGCACCCGAGCCCTGGGAGGGCATCTGGCTGTTAAACGAGCTTCCTTGGCGAGACATGGATGGGGCCTGTGCTTGTCCTGGCGGCGGCATCTGCTGGTGTGGCTGCTGATGGTACTGCTGGGAGACAGAGCCCTGGCTGCGTTGGTGGGTAGGTCGTTGAGAAGGCTGGTAGTGGGCCTGCTGGTTGGGACCACTCATCTGGCCTTGGGAGGACTGGCGGGAAGCGGTTCGAGACAGGTTGTGGCCCGAGGACTGCTGCGAGCCGCTGGAGAGGCGGTAGTCATCTGACATGACGGCGGGATCGATCTCGAAGTCACCTGGACGCGGCGCAAAGAGCTGGCGCACGAGCTGGCAGCGGGAGATGTGCGGGGGCATGGCGAGGAGCTGCTTGACGTACTCGTCTAGGCTCTGACGACGGCCGTTGGAGATGGCGTTTGTGACCTGGGTGACGGGTCCAGGCATGAAGGGGAGAGTGCGCTGGCCGCCTCTGTTGCCGGCTTCTTCTTCGAATTGGGAGAGTAGGGCGATCTGGAAGTCGTAGAAGTCGTGGTAGTAGCGGGAGAGCTCCCACCATCGGCCGTCTTCCATCTGGACCTCGACGATGTACCAGTACTTGTCATTGTCGAAGCAGTACCGCGGAATTGACGCTTGGACGGGTATAGGTACTTGATAGTGCTGTGGCTGCTGTGGTGGTTGCTGTGGATAGCCATGTTTGCTTGGGGATCGTTGGTGGTTCTACAACGTATTAGTTATCGACAGTAACTAAAAAAAAAAAAAAAAAAAAAAAAAAGATAAAAGAAGCAGAGAAGAAATACTGACAGAGCGAGAGTTGAGGCTCATGCGCTCGAGTTCGGCTGCCGCTTGCTGCGGTCCGTTCTCGAACTTGCCTAGAGAGATGGAGGAGTTCTTGTACTCGGCGGTCATCTTCTTCCACTCCTCGACACGGGGCACGCCCGCCCGCCGAACAGCCTCGAGAGGGTCTGGCGCCGACTTCCCTGTCGTCATGTCTCTGATTTCAATGAAGGAGACCGGGATCAGGCCCGGCCCACCCAGACGGCCAATGGGCTTTGCGACGAACCACTCTGGATTTGACTGGGCGATGACGATGATGGCCTCTCCGGCCTTTGCCTCGAGCTCGTCCGGCCGCTCAGCGTTGAAGTCGTACATGACGATGCCGTAGACCATGGCGGTGGCTCCCGTCTTGCCGAGAGACGACATTCTGAACTGCGAGGGCTTGTCTAGCTTGGTGGTGGTGGTGCTGCCGCCGCTGCTGTTGACGATGGTGCTGCTGTCCGAGAAGCCCGAGTCGTGTGCGAGGCGAGGCTGGTGGTGGTGGTGATGCAGGTCTGCGGGCGCGTGGACGGAGTCTCCGCTGTCCCGCTGGTTCTTGCCGATGACCTCGAAGAAGGCAACGGGGACGAGGCCGCGGGCGTTGGGGAAGAGCGGGTTGCAGGCCTCGTACCAGTGCTGGTCGTCCTCTCTGCTGATGACGTGGAAGAAGTCTCCCTTGCTGAAGGCGAGCTCCTCTCTGTTCTCGGGCGACGGCTGGTAGTCGTACAGCGCTTTTATCACCTGTCAAGCGGTCAGTTACGGGAGTTGCTGGCGGTGTTTCTGCTGGTGTTTCTGCTGGTGCTGCTGGTGGTGGTTGTGGGATCGAGGTTGAGGTGAGGTTGCGAGGGTCGACGGGCGGGCGTGGGAATCCACCGCAAGCGCAGGCAGACCCTTGCAGTGCTTGGTGGCGGGCGGGCACAGGCGAGCAAGCGATGAGCGCGTCCCCAAAGCAAAAAACAAGAGTAGGACAAAGATGAGCGGGAGGAGAAGAAGAAGAAAAGAGGCTATCTGACCTTCTTGGGCGGCAAGATGGCGAGGGCTGACTTGGGCGTGATCGAGACATGCTGGTGGTGCTGCGACTTTTCCTTGTCGCCCTTGAGCGAGCGCCGGATGGCCTTGAGTCAAGCGGTTAGCCGGGGTCGACAGCGACTGAGAGTATAAGAGAGAGAGAGAGAGAGAGACGGCCTACCTTCATGGCGCTGGCTGAGACTGTCGATGGCTGAGACTTTGTTCGTCTGCGCTGTCAGAGTTACAGGAATAAGAAGAGGAATAAGAAGAAGAAGAGGAAAAGGACAAGAAAGTGGCGAAGGAAGAAGAAAAAGACGAAGACGGGAGGGAAAAGGACGCCCCTAGCAGGTTAATAAGGACGGACCGAAGGAGCCAGCGGACTTTTGGCCGGACAGACGACAGCAGGCAGAGATGGAGATGAACAAATAGTTATTTGGAGCAGAGAGATAGAGATAGACAGAGATAGAGACAAGAGACAAGAGACAGAGATAGAGATAGAGATAGAGATGGTCGAGAAGAGGCCGCCGTGTTCTGTAACGATGAGTGTTTCGAGCAGAAAAGGGGCCAACGACGGGCAGGGAAGAAGCAAGAAGAGGGACAAAGACAGACAGACAGACAGACAGACAGACAGACAGACAGTAGTAGAAGAAGAAGAAGAAGTAGATAGATGGATAGACAGGAGACAGACAGCGTAGACGTGTTTACTTACTTCTAGATGGCTAGAGGCGATCGCGGGGCGGTTGCAGAGAGATCGGGTAGCCGATGTCTTATAGGCAGGGATGGGCCGGCTGGCGGAGATTTGATATTGGATATAGATGAAGGAGGAGAAGAAGAAGCAGAAGAAGAAGAAGAAGAAGTAGACGGAGACAATGAAGTAGACGATGGAGAGGAGTAAAGACGATGAGAAGAGCAGCAGACTAGAAGAGATGATCGGCTGTGCGACTGTTCAGGGCCGTTAGGAGGCTGGGAAAAAGCAAGCATAGCCAGGGAGGAAGTAAGTAGAAGTACTCCGTAGAAGCTGAGATATATAGATCATAGGTCATAGATCGAGGTAATAGACAGAGAAGATATAGAAGAAGAAGATGTATATAGATAGAGTAACTACGCCAGCTATGGAAGATACATACGCAACTAGACGCCCGCTGCCTGCATACCAGAGTCCACCAAAGGGCCCCCTGAGGAAGAAGATCCTGAAGAAAGCCTTGAAGAAAGACGAAGAAGAAGAAAAGAAGGCAAGAAGGCAAGAGAGAGAGAAAAAAAAAAAAAAGGGGCAAGCTTGTTGCTTTTTCCTTCTCTTGTCTCTTGCCGGTCCTTCTGCTCGGTTCTGTTCTCCGGTCCGCGATGCAGATGCTCATGCTGATGCTGATAACAGTGTGCCGATACCATCCATGTCCCAACGCAACGCCCCTATTCAAGACCAAAGACCAAGACCAAGATGGAAGTAGAAGAAGATAACTCGCTCAGATGAAAAAAAAAGAAGCCGGATGAGTGCAGTTGAAGAGTAAGAAGGAGGTGAAGGAAGAAGAAGAAGAAGAAGTCGAGGGAGGGTCGGAGTAGGAGGAGAGTTAGGTTGGGTGAGGTTGGGTGAAAGTCTAAGGGGGGTTGTACGAGGGATGGTTTATATCTGGCCCTTGATGTCGATGCGCCGGAAGGCCTCCTGCTTGGCCGCCTCAAAGGCCGCACCACACTTGCCGGTCAGCAGCCTGACGCCGTCCTGCGTTTCCTGCAGCAGCTGCTCGGAGACGTGGTCCAGCACAAAACGGGCGCTCTGCTCGTCAGACTCGAAGCCCAGCTCTTCCGTGATGAACCTGATATTCACATCCGGTTTGTACCTTAAAACCATCATTAGCTAGGAGATACAAGAGAGAGAAAAAAAAAGAGGCGAAGTGATAAGACTTACGCTTTACAAATACATGCTAGGGCGGCGAGACGCTCGCGGTCGACAAACATGTCCATGAGATAGGCGCCCATGTTAGGGGTGTCAAGATACAGCTGGAAGAAACGATGGTAGTTGCCCATGGCCAGGGCGGCGCGGACGGCCAGGGCATGGCTGACGGCCGGATCAGCCTTCTCTGCAGCGGTTAGATCTGATAGGGCGCTATTGATCGCCGTCTGGTTGCGTGTGTAGATGAAATAGAGAATACGATACGCTTTGAACTCCATCGGATGGCCGCCGCCCAGGTTCAGCGCGTACAAGCCCTGCAGCTGCGTCTGGCACTGGTTATACTCACCGAGGTCGCCCTTTTCGAGTGCAATGCGCGCGTGGATCTCGTACACCAGCACCGTAAAGTCGTTCTTGATGTGCTGCACCGTCAGGTCCTGGCGCATCGACTTGAACTGGTCGCAGATGTAGCCGTAGTTGTTCTCCTGTTTCCACCGCCGCTTGAGCAGGTCGAGGGTCTTGCGCAGGACTGGAAGCGGGCGTACGTTGTCCGGGTTGGGCGCTGCGGTCAGACGCAGATACCGCTTCTCCAGCTCCGTGCTGCGGCCGACGATGGGGCCCGCGTGCTGGTTGGAGCTCTGGCTGGTGTATGTCTGGGTGTATGAGGGTTGGGGGGACTTGACCTTGGTGGGGGAAGAGGTGCTTTCAAACCGTCGTTTCCTGCTCTCCAGGTGGTGATGGCTGCTGATGTTACTGTTAGACTTACTGTTTAACCCGTCACTATTATTGATATTGTTAGTAGGAACATTCTCCAGGCGTCTGCGTTTGTCCTCTGCGGTTGTCCTCCACGGCGGTATTTCCTGGTAACTCGTTCCGGCAGAGGGAGTAGTAGTAGATGTGTCTGTCGAGATGTCAGTCGACTTTCGCTTGGGCGAGGTCTTGGAGGGCTGGAGAGAGAGCTGGTGGTGGGTGGCGGAAGGGAGGGCGGCGCTGCGTTCGGCCTGGATCATCTGCTGCGGCAAGGGCAGGCTGGCCCAGTCGATGGCCTCGAGGCTGTTGGTCTCTGCTGCGCCGGTGATGACCTGCTTGAGCCTGGCCTCCATCTCCGCGCGAGAGATGCCGGGTATCTGCTGCTCGGGCACGAAGCACCGCTGCACGTACTCGCGCACTGCCGGGGGCCACTCCACCCGCTTTCTCGTCTCTGTTGAAGAAGCCGGAGCCGCAGTCATGGTTGTCGTAGTGGTAGAAGTCGTAGACGCAGTAGAAGAGGCGCTGCGAGCCAGCGTCCGGCGGGCGTGGACGGGGGTGTAAGCTGGAGCCGTCGGTCCTGGAGAGTCGGTCAGCGCTGCACAACCACCGCCAGAGGGTCTCTTACCACTAGCGGACGCTCGCCATGCCGTGTTCATCTCTAGAAATACGATGTGAAGATGGGAAGATGAAGAGAAGAAGAAGACGAAGAAGAGAAGATGAAGAGACAACGACGATGGAGACGATGATGACGATGATGACGATGATGAAGAAAGATGGAATGTCGTCGTGATAAAGTCAAGTCGAAGTCGAAGTTTGTGGTTTCGCTTCCTTTTCGGCTTAGCGCCGCCTCGCCCTATGACTTCACGACTTCGAGATCAACAACTTCTTTTAAGGCCGCACGCAAGCAGGCATCTTGACTATCCGTCGCTTTTGATATCCTGATACTCCGACTCTCAAGACGGGCGATCTCGTCTCTGGCCGTGGCTCACCTGGCGTAGAAGATGGTGCTCGATGTTCTTCCAGCCAGTCGACCTTACCACCGCCCTCCGCCCGTGCCTGCTGCCGGATGAGACGCTGCTCTTCGTCCAGGACGCCATCGGGCTCTACGATGGGTATTCCCTCTTATCTCTCTATTTTGTGCTATGTGCTATGTGCTATGTGCTATGGAAGTAAATGGACTGACGATGATAGTAAATACAAGATACCGCGGTGCCAGAACGGCCATGCGTACCTGACCTCGCACCGGATATGCTATATCGACCTGGAGGAGCCCCGCGGGTGCTCAGTGGGCATCAACCTCAAGGACGTCGACCGCGTCGAGTTTCAGGTAGGCTACCCTCGCCCAGCAGACGGCAGACGGGTTGATGGATAGGTCGCTAACTTGCTTTCCAACTGCCAGGCCCGGTTTCTGCGCTCGTCGCCCAAGCTCAGTCTGCTGCCGCGGAGACGGGCGGCTCCAGGATCTAGTTATACAGCGCCTACGGGACCAGGCTTGGCTACAGCGTCTACCAATATCAAGAGTGAAGCGAGGACGGCGACGTGGGTGTGTCCGATCTGCTCGTTTGCGAACCCGGTGCCATCCAACTTCGACCCTGCGCTGGCTGCGTCGACGGCCATCCCGCCGTGTCTGGCTTGTGGCATCAGGCCGCCCTTGACCACTCTTCTCAAAGCAGCCATCACCGCTTCGACCGCTGCCACTGCCAGTTCTACTTCTACTTCTACTTCTACTAATTCGTCCTCCTCGTCTAAGATATGTCCGAGGTGTACGTTTGCCAATCATCCGTGGCTGCAAGGGTGCGAGATTTGCGGTGCCGGGCTGGGTGGGAACGGGAACGGGAGCGGTGGCCTGACCGGAGCTGGAGCAGTAGCAGGAGCTGGAGCTGGAGCTGGAGCTGGAGCAGGAGTTGGAACGGCGGCGGCGGCGTCTCGGACTGACTCGCCAGCGCCGTTTGGGCCAGCGTCGCGACTGGAAGGCAGGGAGATCGGGGAGTGTGTCAAGCTCTCCTTTCGAGCCGGCGGGGAGAAGGTGTTCCACGAGCGACTGAGGGGGGCTCTCGTCCAGCGCAAGTGGATTCTCCAGGACGCTCCTCCGGTGCCCAAAGCTGGTTCTGGTTCTGGTGGTCCTGGTTCGGGTCTTGGTTCTGGTGTTGGTTTTGGTACTGGTACTGGTACTGGTACGACTGGTGCGACTGGCGTGATTCCAGGCGCAACTGGTACTACTGGTACTACTGGTACTGCTGGTGCAGGTGATAGTAATGTTGGCGGTGGTGTTGGCGGTGTTGGCGGTGTTGGCGGCGGTGGTGGTACTGCTAGTGGTACGGCCGCTGGCATCGCAGGCCTAGAGCGCCGTGGACTGGAGGCCCGACGCAACAACGAGGCAGTGATCGGAGGAGCGTTTGAGGATCTGGAGGCGCTGATGGCGTCTGCCCGCGAGGTTGTGGCGCTGGCCGAGACGTTTGCCCGAGAGCGACGAAACGACGCCGGTGTCACAGACGAGGTCTCGCAGTCTGCCGCCGCCCTCGGGATGATCACCACCAAGCAGCTGCTGGGCCAGTCCGCTGCCTCTGCGTCTTCGTCGTCGTCGTCGACCACGGCGAGCCTGTACGTGACGGAGCTGTCTCGCAACCTGGCCGAGTACCTGACGGACGAGCGAGAGGGCCTGCTGCGACGAGCGGGCGGGATCATGAGCCTGGTGGACGTGTGGGCGGCCTTTAACCGAGCCCGCAACGGCGTCGAGCTTGTGAGCCCGCGAGACTTTCACTCAGCGGCCGAGCAGTGGGAGGTGCTCCGCCTGCCAGTCCGCCTGCGCCGGTTCAGGAAGAGTGGTCTGCTGGTCGTGCAGCGGGCCGACTGGACGGACGAGAAGACCTTGCAGCAGCTCTCTGCCTGGCTCAACCAGTTACACAGTACATCGACTTCTACTTCTACGACGACGACGACGACGACGGGCTCCTGGTTTGGCCGGGGCGTGACTGCGCAGGAAGCCGGCGAGCGCTTTGGCTGGAGTCTCGGGGTGGCCAGCGAGGAGCTCGAGATGGCAGAGGAAAGGGGCCTGCTGTGTCGCGAGCAGGGCGTCGAGGGCCTCCGCTTCTGGCTGAACCACTTCTAGCCCTCGTCGACCGGCCTTCTTTCATCCTGTGTCTTGTGTCTCTTGTCCTTGTCCTCTTGTCCTCCTGTCTATCGCCGTCTGTGTGTCGTGCGTGGCTGATCTATGTACGCTCAAGAGTCTTAAGAGCCAGGGAGGAACCAACAGCCAACAAACACCAGCGGCATCCACCATCCCATCCATCGTCAAGTAGCCTGCTTGCCTGCTTGCCTGGCCTCGTACATGAGTCTATTTAGCCCATCCATGCCGCATCCTTCGCCCTGTCTGCTATATCACTTCTCTGCTATATCCCGGCATCTCACTTTACCCCTATTCTCCGACTGTAGACATCACCTACTATCACCTACTATCACCACCACTTACTATCTTCTACTATCTTCTACTATCACTCTCTCTATCAGCTAGACGCCCACGACGCCCACCAGCGCCCACGTAGCCAGCCCGCCCGCCCTGTGCGACTCCGTAAAATTGCCCTCCCCCATCGCGCTGCGTCCGACAGGCCAACCGAAATGCCAGCCACGCCTTGCGGGGGCCGCTAAAGCAAGTCTTTTCACTTAGTGCCAGGGGGTCAGACGGGCCCGTTCAGGGGTTGCGCTGCGTCTCTTCGTATTCTCCGTCCAGCAGCGAAAAGACAGAGAGAAAGACAGACAGACAGACAGACACAGAGGGAGAGAGAGAGTCCTGGTGACTGGGATGAGCCTTGTCTTGCCGTCTTTTCTTCTTCTTCGTCTTCTTCTTCCTCTTCTCTAACTGTCTTTCTCTTCTTCTGCTTCTGCTTCTGCTTCTTTCATCTTTCTTTCTGACTGTCTCGACTCGAAGCGCCGCCGGCCGCACTAACTAAGAGAGAAAAAAGACTTTTCGTTGCTTTTGCCGGCTTCGTCTTCTTCATCTTGCTCTCTTCGTCTTCATCTCTTCATCCTCTTCATCATCTCCTCTCTTCGTCTTCGTCTTTCTCTTCTTCATCTTCACGCTCGTTTGTCCTCGGACGTTACGCTCTCTCGCCGTCTTTTGCTCTTCTGCTTCTGCTTCTGCTTCTTCCTCTGCTGTCTCGCCGTCACTGACAAAGACGGGTCGCAAGTAAGCGCGCATCCTCCTGCATCTTCTCTGACACCATCAAAGACAAGGACGAGAGGGAGATCAAGAGAATAAGAGAAGAAAAGACCAAGAGAAAAGGAGACTGGCCTCGCCGTCTTCATCTTGTCTCTGTCTTTTGCTGTCTTTCTGTCTTGCTGTCTTGCTGTCTTTTCTCTGTCTTCTCTGTCTTCTCATCCTCAGCCTGACCTCGACCCTCGTTATTCCTTCACTCAGCCATCTTCTATCACTGCCCGTCTTCACTGAATTATCTCGTCTATTGCGATTCATCTCGTCCTCCAATGCTAATCCGTCCAGCTGTTATGACCTAGAGACCGCAGCCGCACTCGCTACCGGACTCCTGTCCACCACACTCTTTACCCAGCCAGCGACAGCCAGCAACCATCCAACCAAAACCCATCACCACGAAGAACTACGAAGAAAGATACATATAATTTCCCGTTAATACGTCTTAATTCAACCAGCCTGACGACGGGCGAGAGATGCGCCTTGCCGCTGCCCTCCTCGCGGCCGTCGCCGTAGAGGCGCTGGGCGACCTTCCCGCCGCCCACAGGCCGCAGCACTACTTCCCGCGCCTCGTCAGGAGAGACCTCGACCGCACCTCATGGGGCGCCTCCTCCAGGAAGATGGTCAAGGCCGGCGAGCCCAGCGACCTGCCGCACTTCTACAACGCCATCATCATGCCCACCGCGGCCTCGACCGACTCCTCGACGACGACCACCACCACCAGCAGCAGCGATACCACCAGTGGAACGTCTACGGGGGACTCTAGCTCGAGTGGAAGTGCAACCTCAAGTGGAGGTGCCAGCTCGGGTGCGGGTGAAAGTCCCAGTCCAACTCCCACTCCCACTCCCACTCCGACTCCAACGCCAGACGACCCGGTAACGACGCCTCCTCCAACGGTCCATCCAACGGCGCCAACGGTCCCTTCAATGCCGTCTGAACCTTCTGAGCCCGCCGAACCTAGTGAGCCAAGTGAGCCTACGCTCATTATCCCAACGGCCCCTTCAAGCAAGCCCACAGTGCCAGAAGAGCCAACGCCGTCAACACCCCCAACACCGCCAAATGAGCCCGTCTCCTCCTCGGTGCCGCTGCCTCCTGTCCTGTCTAGCCCTCCGGTTACCTCTCCCAGCAGCCCTGAGATGTCTACCCCGGCTCCCACTCTGCTGCCTACCTCGTTTCCCACCTTGCTTCCCCCTGAGGAGCCGCCGTCTTCGTCTGCTTCTTCTCAGCCTCACCAGGACCCAAGCTCCTACACTCCTCCTCCGCAGGTCCCACCGTCATCAGAGGCCCCTATTAGCCCCCCAGCTGATCCCACCAGTACCCCCGGTGCTCCTGAGTCTCCCGTGCCTACATCTGTAGTGCCCTCCATGCCTTCGATGCCGTCAATGCCCTCCATGCCCTCCATGCCTCCCATGAGCCCCTCGCAGGGAGTCAGTCACCCCGGCGGCGTGCCTACTGGAGACAGCACTCTCATCCCGCTGCCCACTCTGTTCCCCTCGTCCTCTGCTCCGGCTTCTCCCCCTACCCAGCCCGGTCAATCTTCTCAACCTTCTCGGCCTGGTCAGTCCTCCCAGCCAATGCAGCCTACTCCGCCAGAGACTCCTACTATCCCGACTACTTCGGCCACGGGAGGCATGACTTACCCGGGCGGAGGCACAGGAACTGGATCGAACCCGACCTCTACTGAGGGAACAGGCATTCTGCCCACTCTCCTCCCAATTCCCTCCGATTCTACTGGTACTTCCACTGGTACTAGTATGGGTACTTCCACTGGTGCTGGTACTTCCGCTGGAACTAGTACTACTGGGACTGGTACTTCTACGGGAACTCCTATCAGCTCCCCATCTTCTCCCGTCTCCATCTCTATTCCAATCTCCCTCCCAACCGACCTCACCAGTGTCACCAATTTCCCTACCTACTCTCCCTCCGGTGACCCAGCTACCGTCACCGGCCCTGGCAGCGGAACAGCCACGACCCCTATTACTTCTATTCTTCCCACGGGAACTGGAACCTCCACTGGAACTACAGGCACAGGAACTTCAACTGGATCGTCTACCGGAACCTCTGCTACTACTGGCACCAGCACAGAGACGCCTACCTCAGTCACCTTCCCATCGCTCTCAATCCCTACTGGTACCGCCTCGACTTCCTCCGGCACCATTGGAACTGGCATCACCACAACTCCCACCGGCACCGGCACCGGAACCATGGGCAGCAGCACGTACTCCTCCCACCCAACTTCTGTCTCGGAGACCTCCACCTCTGGCTCTGGCTCGGATACCTCTACCGTCCATCCCTCGACGATGATGACCGTAACCACCACCACCCGCCCGTCCTCCCACACGCCAACCCCAACTTCCACTATACCCTCCTCCTCGGCTCCCATCTCTACCAACTCCGATACCACTCTGTCCGTGCCAACCTCCATCATCATCCAGCCCTCCACCACCACCACCACTACGTCAGCCACTGCTACCCATTCCCCCAAGCCGTTGCCATACATGATCTCCCCTCCCAACGCTAAGCCACCACCACCAGACTCGATCCTCATCCAGCTAGGATTCAATGGCTCTCTACCCTATGAGTTCATCGCCCTCAACACCGATGTGGTCACCCAAATCTTTACTTTCATGCCCTTGGGAGTATCTTATGCCGTCGAAGTCGACAAGGACGAGACCCCCATCACAGGTATCGGGCAGTATGACAGGGGTACCCGCAAGGGCTACACCACCGCCCTCGTCTTTTGCTACATCCCCAAAGACGTTTACAAAGTTCTTGCAACCAGTCTCTCCACCCCGCAGTCCAGGCTCTACACTAATCCGGACGCATCAACCTTCACACTCATGTCCATGATCGACCCTACCATACCCTTACTTGCCGGTGGTCAAACAGTGCCCGGGGGAGGCAATGCTCCATACCCAGGTGGCCTTCCCGGTTCAGGCAACAATGGCGGCAACGGTGACGGTACGGACGGTAACGAAAACAAAGGAAAAGGTCCCGGAGGCTCGGCTGGCGGAACTGGCATCAAACCAACTGCAGTCGGCATCGGTCTAGGCGTCGTCGGTGGAGCTGCCCTGTACGGAGCAGCCATGTTCTTCGTTGCTCGCCGCTACAGAAAGAAACGCAATCTACATCGTCGATCGGACTCGTTGACCAGTGGTATGGGCTCCCCAACGCCTTACCACGATGAGCAGCGTGCCGGCAGTCCGTTCGCAGGCACAACTATGAACGATCGGTACTCGGGTGCTGGCAGTGGTCGGACAGCGCAGATCAGTGCGCCTGTCATGGCTGAGAACTCCCTTGGCTGGAATTAGCCTTGTCACCACCACCACCACCACCCAGGAACGCCCATCTATGCATGCCGTGCCGTTCCTCTAATTTTTTCTACCTACCGTCTGCCTAAGTTACATACGCCTTTGTCCTTGCTTTTACGTGTCGACGCTTTTTCTTTCTTTTTTTTATAGACAGCTGGATATCCTCACTATTTCCCCCTTCCCCCTCGTCCCCGTCACCGTCACCGTCACCGTCACCTCCCTCCTCTTTACTACCGTCAGCAAACACCAACGCGTACTCTGGTTCAGTCCAAACCGTTTTTGTTCCCTATGTCTGCCTGCTTCCTTGCCTGCTTAAATGTACCAACACACGTTCCCTGATTCGAAGATCCAAAAAAAAAGAGAGTCTCAACAGAGGCAGACATCAGCCACCCACCAAAACCAGCTCAGTACCCCCCTGACCCCCTTTTCCTCTCCCCCCTTTTACCCAATACCCCATTCCCATTCCCATTCCCTTCCCCTTCCCCCTCCCTGCCCATTTCCTATGTTTTAATTGAAATCTTCCAGCTCAAATATCGCTCTGCCTGTGCTTTCGCCCTCCCCCTTTTGCTCTCCCCTTAAATGCTTTTTTATACACCGCGTACTAACCTAGCCATCTTCTACCCTACCTATTTTACTCGTTGATACCTTTCTTGCCTGCTCACCGGCCCCCTTTTTATTTTCCTTTACTACTTTTATTCATATACTTAGTTAGTTACCCTTCATGGCTATCTATGTACATATATTATAGGCAGACATTCACTCACGTCTTTCCTTGTGTTTATAGTATATAATATGTAGATATCGTGTGTAGGGCAGAAGTAGGAATAGAATCAAATCAAAAACTGCTTTCATTCTTTATACGAGTCAGCGAGCAATGAAACGCATCTCATCTAATGAGGCTGAGATGGCCGGGATCAGGCATCGTCGTATACTCTAATATCAACCTCCAGTCCGTCCATCATCACCACCACCATCACCAAGCCATACACAGATATCTAATGGATATATAGATATAAATATAGATATAGATATAGATCACGATGACAGACTGGACCCCAGAGACGCTCCTCTCGCACCTCTCCTACGGCTACTCCCTCAAGGACCTGCCGCCCCCGCAGCGCATCCCATCCACCCGCCTCGCCCGCGAAGCCACAGCCATCTCATCCTCCTCCATCGGCACCCTCGACGCCCTCCCGCTCGAACTCCTGCACCTCATCCTCGAGCAAACCGACATCCTCTCCCTGCTGCGCTTCGCCCGCACCTCGCTGCGCGCCAAATCCGTCCTCTCGTCGCTGCACGCCTACAACTTCCTGCTCGCCCACGCCCCAGACGCCCTCAGACAGCTCGCCCTCGCCAACCTCCTCGCAGCCCACGAGACCCGCTCGCTCTACACCGCGCTGCTCTCAACCGCCTGCTCGTCCTGCCTCCAGCCCTCGCGAGCAACTCACTTCTACCTCCCCTCGGCCCAACGAATCTGCTATTCCTGTCGCACGCTCAACCCGGGCCTATGGCTGATCCCGCTGTCCTTCGCCAGACGCTGTTTCAGGCTCGGCGCTTCATCCACCGCAAAGCTTCCCCTGCTTCACTTCCGGCCTGACACCATCATCACCTCCGGCAACCGCAAGCACAAGCACAGGCGCAAGTCCGAGCCGTGCGTGTCGCTTCGTGACGTGCGCCGGCTCGCGGAGAAGGTGCATGGTTCCATGGAGGAGGTATACCGGCTGCAGACCAAGGGCGGCATGCACGCTTCCTGTCTGATGGAGGCGTACTTGATGCAGTTCCTACGAGACGCGCCCTGCCAGCCCTTCACCCCGTTCCTGCTAGCGTCGACGGGCTGGTGGGAGGAGATTTCAGAGTACCTTGCTCGTCTGCTGGATGACCTGGGCGTGGTGGGCAGGGAGTGTGTGCCGTTGCCGTGGCCTGATGCCACCATGGTGGTGCCTTCGTCCGCTTCTACTTCTACTTCTACTTCTTCATCTTCATCTTCCTCTTCAGCTGGAGATGATGATGTTATGGAGGGGTACTGGTGTCAGGGCTGCTCGAAGCTGGCCATGTGGTATCTGCAAGGCAGGATAGAGAGAGAGGTGTGTTCGACGTTGGTGCCTGGTGTGTCTGATGGGTTTGAAACCATCAAGGCCCTGTACGCGCTGGCTATGCGGGTCCGCTCAAAGGACGAGTTCTGGCGCCATATCGCTACTTGCTATGCCGTGCAGCAGAACATGCCGGACATCAGGCTGGTGTTGGGCCAGCTACATCTAAGGTGATGATGATTAGATTAGATTTGCTTTTACCGAACCGTGGGTTGTCGTTAATAGTCTATTCATTCTCCTCTCACTTGTTTTTTTTTTCCCCTGGATAATCATTAACTACCATGAACTCTACCAGCTCGGCTATACATTTGTCTTTCTCTTTATTTTGGTTACCGTTATCGGCAACCAAGGTGTCTTCGTGTCTTCAGCCTGTACTCAGCAACCGGATCCCGAAATACTGACGCAACAGTTCAAATTAGAATGCCGGTGGCAAGGAGGTCATTAATTCATAGATATTAAGAACAAGACAGGTAAGTCATCAAACAGAGCGCTTTTCTTCTTCAAAAGGCGGACAAAAGGGAAAAAAAGCATGAGAACCGAAGAGCAGGAACCAGAGTACGCAGTACGAAGTAGTCGGCATATAGACGGAAAAGATAAAAGTAAAAAACCAGTCGGGAAAAGAGAAAACAAGAAGGGAAGCCAAATCATTCGCTGGGAAGAGATGGAAGTATGAAGGAGAGTCGGGAGTAGCATGAAGTCATCGCGGCATAAGCATGAGAAGTATGAAAAAAAAAAAAAAAGAAAAAGAAAAGAAAGCAATGCGGATAAAGAAAAGAAGAAGAGAAAGCCGCCCCATGAGACGGCCAAGGACGAGCAGACCAGGGGCTGAAGAAGAGTGGCAGGAGTACACGACGAGCACACCAAACTGCCTGCGCGGGTAGCAGGCTTAAAGTGAGGATTAGTCGTAGAAGATCGTTCTGGCCGCCGATGACCATGCGGCGGGATGCAGTCTTGCCTTTCCGAGATCCTTCCTCGGCTTGCTCACTGGCTTAGTTTCGTCTGCTGATGCCTTTAAGTTCGACCTCGCTGTGACGGGTTTGATTGTAAGCAGATGTATCAAAACATGCATGCATGCATGCGCTGGGTCGGGATAGATAGTCAAAAAACGGATGGGCAGGCGCGTATTTCGTACATGCACGGGAGACGGGATAGGTCGGAAAGACGAATAGAAATACAGAAGTCAAGACGAGGCATACTCCGGAAAAGCGCAAAAATGAGGAACGAGGAAGGCATGTAAGAAAGAGAAGAAAGGGGAAGAAGCAAAAAAAAAAAAAAAAGGGTGCGGGTTCAGTTCGGGGAGATCATGGTATATTCTCCGTCTTTCAAATAAAAGGACCCATAATGTTAATAGGGAAAATGGAAAAGAAAAGAAGAAGGTCGATAAGACTGAAAAAATCGAGAGTAGGGCAAGGATAACAACCCCCCTCCAGGACTCTGACTGCATCGCTGTTCTCGTCCAATGTGAGGTGCAGAAGAGGGACCCAGCAGGGGATGCAGGATGCAGGTATCGAGGGGGGTGGGATACGGTATGAAGGGCAAACGGGGGAAGGGAGCAAGGGCAAGCAGACAGGTATGGAACAGTTCATCGACACAGCAGCAATGGGATTAAAAGAAAATCAAGTACACGTATTGGGGAAACGGATGCTCGTCCTCGACTTCTCTTGGGATCCTAGGGAAGGGGAGTAAAAAAAAAAAAAACATCTGATAGAACTTACAAGACAAGAGTAGAGTTCGGTGGTATTAGTCCGGGGAAGCCACTAAGAAAACACACCACAAGAATCAGCCGAATTAGTTGTTACCAGCGCCACGCAGCCTGACATGTAACTCGTCTTGTTGGGCACAGTATTCTCTCCCTTTCATTTGCCGCCCTTTCTCTTCTTATCCTGCCGGACAGCCAGAGAAGGGGTCGGGCAAATAAAAGGGGGCAGAGCTAGCAAAGGGTGGCCCTGGGAAAACAGCGCAATGGGGGCAAGAGATGGGAAAAGGCCATACCGGTCGCCGTATGCATAGTCCCTGGACGCCAATCGTTGTTAGCCATGATACGTGGACAAAAGGGGAGAGGGCAATATGTCCGTCCATATTGTATTATATATTAAATACTTACCCGCTAATGGTCAGTATGCACTTCTCGCCAACTGTCATATTCATCACGCCTTCGTCCCATCCTGTGCAGTAGAAGGCTGAGGTTAGGGACTTGGACATCGGGAATGCCTGCTGTACTGGACTACAAGACCAGCCAGAGAAGGGCCAGCCAGCGTCTATCAGTGTCTCTCCATACCTCGAATGACCTTGCCGATACCGATTGGAGTCTTGAACTCTCCTCGATCTTGTGACGAATCGAACCTGGAAATAAAGCGAACATGCATGAGCTGACTAGTCATCCAAGGCCAAGTTTTTTTATTTTCGGTTTCGTCTTCTTCTTCTTCTTCTTCTTCTCTTTTTTTTTTTTTAATTCCAATCATACGACTTTTTATTTTTCTCATCCCCATAGACAAGACCAAGTTAGACATGAAACGGAAGTTGACATACTGTTTGCCCATGTTATGAAATGTAGATCGGCTAGGGTCGTAGAGGCATCCACGATAGTCGATTATCACCTCGTCTCCCTTGGTAGGTCGGTCAACTCCGTTGCCGCTTCGAAGAATTGTCTTGGTAACACCCATGCTGGCTATCTTGTAATTGCAAGGAGTGGTTGCTGATATCGCTTGGGTTCTGGGTCGTCGTAGGTGGCGTGGGTATTGGGTAGCTCTCTCCTCCTTAAGAGTGCAAGTGTTCGCAATTGACAGCGAGTATAATTAATGATTAAAGAAGGATATACAGCGAGGGAAACAGCGAACAGATTGAGAGGCAATTAGATGAAGGTGAGGGGGAGCAGAAGTGTATATTTTGCTGAGAACCAGGTTCAATTGAACGCTCACGCGCTACAATGAAGTGTGATGTAGCTAGGAGAGAGACGAACGAAGGGATGAAAGGGAGACAGCTTTAGAGATATGACGACGGAGTCAGAGGTCCAGGCGACATGCTACTCTATATATCTCCGACCTTGCTCTCACGCCTAGCTCGGTCTTTTTTTTTATTTTTTTCCTTTTTTTTTTTCAAGTTGCCCCGTCCTTTTTTGCAGTGTCTCGCTCTTTTGCCTACATATTCAGATTCATGCTGGATACGTAACGAGCGAATGACAGGGAACAGGCTAGACGGGTTGGGTGGATGGGCGCCCACCTGCTGAAAGCCAAAAGTCTGGGGCAAGTCGACAGTAACTTAGTTAGTCGAACAGCCGCAGGGTTTAGGATGAGGTAGGTACATTCCCAATCCTAAATTTCGTTTGTTCCAGACAGGAATCCACCGGTGCGAACCTCGAGCTGATATTTATCAGTAACGAAGCCTTTCAAAGGTGTGTGTGCGAGGGAAACAGGAAAAGAAGAGCTCGGGTGCTCGCACAGATCCTACCAGTGGGTCGGTTGATAGTTATTTGAGCTTTTGAGAGGCCGGAAGAGAGATGGAGAGTCGGGCAAAACGTTTATTAGAGTTGGAAAAAGCAGAGCACCTGTTCAAGTGGGATTTGAAAAATTGAAGCTCACGATGAGGACATCCCACTGGAGGATGGGAGTTGAGAATTGCTTTTTCGCCCAAGCTCGTAGATGGGGGATATCAGCCCCATCAATACTATGCTGTCGATGTATGTATGTATGTATACTCCGTACGCTCTGTACAGTACTGGGTAGACATCCGGCCTGAAGAGGGAGGTCGTTAACGCTGCCACATCACCGGAGCATTGTGGTGGAGGCCGTCCCATGTCCCTGGCAGGATACTGGTCGAGCTTGCTCAGCCTGTCTTGCTGTCTTGCAGCTTGCTATCTTCTCCAAACCGTCAGCCGTTGATTGACTATAGCCATGAAACGGGGGTCACAAGCCAGCTCGACTCGACTCTACCTTATTTTTGCGTGTTGATCGGCCCATCCACGGCCATAGGCCACGAGATATACACGCATCCGGCCGGCTGTGCGCGTCATGGCAAAAGCAGGCCAGAAGGCAAAGGCGAAGGCGAAGGCGAAGGCGACGTCGTTGATGTTTGTTTGTTTGTTGTCTCTTTCTCGAGCTGCGGTTGAAGCTGAGGGACGTCGTCTTATTTCCTCTTTGGGAACAGGAAGAGGCCCCGGCGTCTCTTTTTCTTTTTTGGGCGGCCTTCAACTTCAACTTCAACTCCATCAACTCCAACTCCATCACAGCACAAAGCAGCGTTGACGACCAGCTGCGCCAGCTAGCTAACCGATACACCCACTCGAGCTGCCCGGAGAAACGCTGGAAAAGTGCTGTATACGCCAGCCAGCGGATCCCATACCCTAGTATCAACGAATGGTACGCGATGCCCGCGCCCAGCGCTAACTAAGTTACGCACGCTAATCACGCTACTGTAGGTGGTGCTGCCTCGACTCCCTCTCGGATCTTGAGTTGAGAATGCAGGCAGAGCAGGCCGTACCATCCATCGAGGGTGCTTGTAATGCTTGTGCTGCTTGTGCTCATGCGATAGTTATCGACTACCCCGGGTTGTTTTCGGACCCAGAGAATGGGGAGTTTTCAAACATCTGGCAGAGGTACATATTAGGTAGCCTTCAGGTCGCGGGATGTAAGTAACACCAGTCGCAGACACATCAATCGATAGTCCTGCCCCGGCTTGCATCCGTCCGTCTCGCTTTTTGTTTTCTTCTAGCTGCGTCCGTATCTCGTCCTTCGCTGGAGCCGCTAGAGCTTGCCGCCCTCCCCCACCGGTCATGATTTGCTCCTCTTGGGTCTCTCTGTACGCTGGACAGAGTATAAAAATGTGAACTGACCCCGGGCGTTCTAGATCGATGCCCACTTGATATTTTTAGTTTTGGACTGTGGCAGGGGGGGCTCGTTGTGGAAGTCACAAGCCAGTCAAGAAGGGCAAAAGATGTTTGAGAACACACACCCACACCCACAATTACAGCAGCAGAAATGGAGTCTCGGGGTCCTGCTGGATTCTCTTGGGGGTACATCTGTCGCTCATCGTATCGACCAGACATGTCGACTTAGCCCCGGGTCCTTGGCGAAGTCTCACCCCAGTTGCTGGATACATGCGCCAGTTGACGCAGCCACAGAAGCGATTGGGAATCACAGTCGACAGCTCGCCACTCCTTATCATCAACATCTGTATGGACAGAGTGTCTTCATGCTGGCTGGGGAAAGCATTCCCAAACTGGGATAATCAGACAACCAGGAAGAGGAGACGGGGGGAAAAAAAGAACGAAAACGAAAATGAAAATCCAACCATTTGTGCATCCACATCGGTGCCTGCAACATTCGCTGAATTGTTCAATCCATGCACCTATCCATGGCCCATAACTAGTATGATTTCACTGGAGGTGGTTCTCCATTTTTAGCTGTTGGTCACACGGACCCCCCTACACCATGATCTACAGATGGCCCCTACAAAAACGAGTCGTGGCAGGAATCAAAAAACCACGCTCTTCCTGTCGTTAGTTTGTGTTGACTAACCCCAGAACTAACTAGCTAGTTAGTATGTTATCGATAAAACTAGGCTCAAGGAGGGGCCATGGCATGTATCTCGTCTCGATTTTGAGACCAGTTGCGCGTGCTCTTCCCGCAGTCGAAGTGTGCTGGTACATCGACGATTACACTGACTTGATCTGTGTACTTAGACACCCGTGCTTGCGTGTTCTCTAGATCCCCGAGCCGGCATGTGCTGCAGACCCAACTGTCCTGACAGGGAAGTTAGAAAGGTTCGCTACACTCTGGATACATCTCCATAGGGTGGAGGAGGGCGGGGACCACAAATCCCCTGACTATCCGTAACTCCCTGTCTTTATCCTATTTTGCCCTTTTGATTTGGCCTCTCAATCCATCACTAATCATACTCTTACCTAGTTAACTAACTCGTTACCCTACCCACTCGATCAAGCTAACTATAGTAGCATACGGACCTGGAAGATTAGGTTCACTCTCAACGCAAAGAAGGATCCCCAAGGTTGTTATTTCAGTTTGTACAAATGTTTTTGCTAGATTCCACACTTTATTCAACGATAAAGAATCAAAATGTGTGCTTTAGGTGAGCTGCTTAATTGCACCCCGAACAACCAGCCGCTTCCCCTGAGTTTTTTTCCCTTTGTCCGGAGCTGCAGTATGCATGCATCGGACGCCATTCCATCCTCCTAGAGTCTCGCAGGGACAAATAATAGTTATGTCTACATCCTCCGCGATTTACGGAACGCAAAGATGCAGAGATACTTCGTATACGAGCCGCACTTGGGCCTACATGGTCTCTACACGAAGTTGACAGCATGCAAACGATCCATACGAATGCAACGGGTTTATAGATATCGATCAGGGCTGAAGAGCAAACGCCATCCCCCATCCATCAACTTCCCTGGCCGGTCAGATCCAGAATATGTGTTATCATGTAGTAACACCGCCCTATCTTCAACCATCCCATGGGAAGCATCCGGGGAGACGTCTCCCTCGAATCCGAGCACAACTGCAGGATCCTTTGATCTCAGGGTAAAACTAAGATACATAGAAATGCCTAAACGAGAGTATGTATCAGCATCTCATAAGGGTCCGGGATCAAATGCAAGCCACCTCATCAACTTGACAGGCATATACAATAGTCAATATATGTTTATGCACAATTTCTCGTCTTTCACGGAATGGGTGTATACAGGTTAGTCTAAAAGGAGTAAATCTGTGCCCGTTAATCGAGGTTATCACATTTATAGCGTCCGTCTCCACGGCCTGGACACTCCAACACTCCGACCAGGCTTGCATTCGCGTTGTTTTCTCCTTCTTTGTGGTCTATCATCCGGTTCCCTCTGGAGGACCCCATAAACCTACATGGTACTAATTACGGATTTGTCTCGCGTCCTCGAAGCCTCTTCCGATATTAACCTCTACACGGGGAGTACGATGCAAGTAATAAAGCGCTCAGGCATCATCTGAGTTGCTCCCTTGTTGGCTTCTGCCCAAACAGAACGGCTCACAGCATTGTTGATCTCTGGTTGTTTTCTCCATCGGGTGGATGATTGATCATCATGACTACGACTTACAGACATCGCTATACCCGCCTTCACCCTTGACATTAATGCCGTCTCCCACCGTTCCCCTCCACCCCTCCCTTCTATCCGCAGACTCGGCCCGCATGGAGATGCTTGACAGAAGCCTCTAGATCGCGGCCGGGAGACGGGTGGCAGCCGGCTGAAACTAAAATCAAAAGCGGTAATACATCACGCTTCCGCAAGCTGCACCTAGATATGCAGTGTTATTGCCTCCCATCAAATCCACAAAAGCGGAAGCGAGGGAAATAGTTATTATCGTAATTCGGGGATTCAACCCTGCTGGCTATGAGGGCTGGTTGATGCGATGAGTATACCAATGGACCCGGTTGGCGCTTTGAGTGCCTGTCAAACCAGCATTCAAAGACGACAGTGAGATCCAGAATTTGTAATGGGGCTGAAAGGACAGGAGGGTCAAGGGGATGGGGGAAGCGAGTCGTTTGTGGGATTTTTGTATATAGAAGGATCCCTCCCTGACGTGCGGGGACCTCCGTGGCCAGGTCAGTTGTGGACTCCTTGTGGGCAGATCTTGTGAATGGAGAGATTTGCCAACATACATAAGTAATATAGTCCTGCATCTTCTCGCGTGCCTTTTCATTCCCTTTCCACCGAGCTTGTGATAAGGCCTGCTTCAGGGCTGATCAAGGAGCTACATCTATCAAAGTGTAAAATCGGTATATAGTTATATATAATTTATATAACGTTGGGTCCGATCCATCAAGTTACTCCAGGGTATCTTCCTTGTATGTCCCCATACGAGACCCTTTTTTTTTTAAAACTCCTGATAGCCGCTGCTATTATTTCAAGTTGTGCAATTGGCCGTCTTAGGCGCTGTGATATAGTTCGATATCCCAACTAGAGATGATCGGTGTTGATCATCCGTAAATCGCACGCAAGGGGAAGGGCTGGTTCGGCGGCTGGCTGTGCGATCAGATCTGACGGCATATGCACCCGATATGCATAGGGCTCAGCGGCGGGTACTGCTTAAAATCAGGTTTAAGGGGTGGAGTCTGCATGGCAATGGCCATGGATTGTCCCTGAATAGACATGCTACATCTAGAATATCTTGGGATTCAAGTGTTTGGTAGGTAGAAAGGGGTCCGTTGAGTATGTATATATTGATAGATTCATTGGACATATAGACAGTAGGGGCAGCCAACCAACGTAACCAGGAAATAAAAAATATTATGACATGATAAAGCATGATGATCAGCTACCGCATGTATGCAAGGCAAAATCGAAAATAAAAAAAAAAAAAAGGCAAGGAAAAGCATTAACAGAACATTCGTGAAAGTCGGTGCTTGATTGCCGGTAGGAAGCCCTGTGGACCAGGATACTCAGTATCATCCCACTGTTCGGCATCACATTCCAGACGACCGGAGTCAATGTCAACTTCTAAGAGGTCAATGATCCTGGTGCGGAACCACAGCTTGTGGCCGACGAACAAGACAACGAAGAGGATCAAGCTGACGTATGCGATGAAGAAGTTGGAGGTATTCCAGGGAATAAAAGCGGTGAATCCCTGGGTGAGGATGATGAGGACTGTGAATCCTAGACCATAGTAGGCTAGGAAAGGTTGGAAGGGCGCCTTATATGGCAGTGACTCTCTGCTGATGCCACGGGCCGCAAGAGCGCGCATAAAACGGATGTGGCACCCGTTGATGCAGGACCAGGAGATGAAACCGGCGATACTGCTGATGTTCAGGAACCAGCCGAACACAGTTCCGCCGTTGTTAGAAAGGTTAAGGAATCCTAGGAAACCGATGGAGGAGGTAAAGAGGACCGCTAAGATCGGGACACCGCCTCTGGTGGTCTTTTTAAAGAAACTGGGAGCACACCTCTCGGTTGCGAGACCGACGACGATACGACTGCCACAGTAGACGTTTGAGTTGGCGGCTGAAAGCACGACGGTGAGCAGGACGGCGTTGATAATGTCTGGGAGCACCTTGACGCCGGCTAGCTTAGCTGCAATGACAAAGGGAGAGGCAGAAGCATCAGTGTTGCTGGAGAGGAGGTTCTCGTTGGTGTAGGGGATGAGGATGCCGATGAAGAAGACGGTCAGGACGAAGAGGAAGAGGATACGGTAGAAGGTCTTCTTGATGGCGGAGGGAACGGCCTTGCGGGGATTCTGTGTCTCTCCGGCAGCAATACCTACGAGCTCAGTGCCCTGGTAGGAGAAACCAGCCTGGACCAGGACGGACCAGAAGCCCAGGAACTTGCCTAGGGACACTCTGTGTTCTCCGATGACATCGAGCAAGTAAGGAGCGAATGCGCCTGGCTCACGCCAGTACTTGAATCCGATGTATCCCTGGTCACCCACGCCGGCATTGACGCAGATGGCAAAGAGCATGAATCCCACGACAGTAATGACCTTGATGGAGGAGAACCAGAACTCGACTTCACCGTAGAAATTGACGGGAAGCAAGTTAAGAGCTGTAATGAAGGCCCAGAAGACGCCGATGAAGATGGCCACAGACAGGTGAGGGGCCCAGAACTGTATGATCAGACCGGTAGCCGTGAGTTCGAGGGCGAAGGTGATGGCCCAAGAGAACCAGTATATCCAGCCCATAGCAAAACCCAGGCTGGGATCGACGAAGCGGGTAGCGTAGGAGGTGAAGGCACCGGGAATGGGGATGTAGGTTGCCATCTCGCCCAGCGAGGCAATGACTGAGAAGACGAGGGATCCCACAAAGGCATAGGCAATCAGAGCACCGGCAGGACCGGATTTCGCGACAGCAGAGCCGCTACCAATGAAGAGACCAGTTCCAATGGTACCACCTAGCCACAGTAGTGTTAGCTTGTCGATAAAACGTACATACAAGCCATGCGCCGTGCCATGCATATGCATGAAGGGGACAAAAAGAGAGGGGAGAAGGGTATCATACCGATAGCTATCATCTGCAAGTGTCGGCTCTTGAGTCTCCTCTTGAGCTCGACGCCGGCGGTGACGACATTGTGCTTTTCGATGTCAGCGCCAGCCTCTTTGGCGTAGGCATCGCTGGTCATCGTGATCTCGTCTGCTCGTCCCATGGTGAAGGTGAAGGCGACTCTCGTCGTCTCTCAGCATTCAACAGAGAACCAGCCCAGCAACAGCAGCAGCAGCAGCAACAAGCAGAAACAGGAAGAATAATAACACACTCCGTCAGGTAACCGAGGGGAGGATGGCGAAGTTTTTATGACTCTTTGCTTCCTCTTTGCTTTTTGGCTGTCAAGAAGTAGCAAAATCTCCACCAGGAGGAGATTTTTTATCAGCAGCCAGCCTGGGCAGAGATAGAGAGGGAGGAGAAGAGTTTTCCGACTCGACAGAGGCGCACAAGAGGACTCCAGAGATAAGTATTCCGTTAGTCGGAAAGGGAGAGAGGAAGACGAGCAGAGCCAGCAGCAGAAGCGGAGGAGGCTAAGGAAACCCCAGGCCTTGTCCGCCGGCCAAACCGTATCAAAGTAAAATGATGAAATATAGCTAGTCAAAAAGAAGGCAGCTCAGGTGGCGAACCCTGGCCGTGATCGCGACGGACTCGCAGGCTTTGGTCGATGGTTCGCTGTCGGACGCTCCGTCGTGAGCAGATGGGGGTGTCGATGGGGAGCTGTTGATGGAGATATTGATTTCGATGTTGAAGCGGCTGTATGGATTTGATATCAGCCAAAACGGCCGCTCAGTAGTTATGTCTTCAGCCGGACTCTTCTTCCTCTCGTCCTCCTTGCCGTCGCCGTCTTCGTCTGCTCCCTCATCTCTCTCTCTCTCTCTCTCTGGCGGCCATCTCATATGCAACCCTGCTAATGATGGCTTGGTGCTCATGGGCTCCTCCCATGTATCCTCGTATCCCCGGCCTTGCTCCCCCACAGGCTACTCGGCGTCGTTCGCTAATTCGTGCCCCCGTCTCACCGGCCACTGGATCCTTGCCCTCCCGTCCGAAATGCGTGACCTCCTACGCCCTTTGTTCTGGAGTCCTGCCCGCCGTCTGGTTGGCTGGGTTCAGGAGAACGGACAGGACGGTCTCTCGCCTGAGAATGCGGAGAAGAGATGGAGCTAAGCGTAGCGTCATTGACAGCGGCGTCTCCCCCCTCCCCCGGTCGTCCAGTAAGCATTACTATATTGTTATACCCCAGGGATGTTTTGGGTTGAGTTGGCCCTCTCTCGCACATTTAATTGACTCCTGATATCTGCATGGTTGCGACATGGTTGGTGCATCAGTCGGGTTCTCGTGCGTTGCGACTGCGGCTACGGCCTTTTTCTTTTGATTACGGGAAGCCACCCCCATGTCAGGAGAAGAAGAAAAACAGCCAAAAGAAAAGAAAGGAACAGGTCAAAAAACTCCCGATGGAAGCCAAAAGAAGCCTCTGATAGCCCTCTAGAAAAACTCTTTTACCTAATGGCACATGGAAAGGTGGTCGAAAGCCATTGTTCCAAGCGGGCTAATTAACCGGTGACGGCGCCCCTGGAGATGGTTGGCCGCCTCCCCTTAATTTTTTTTCGTTTCTTTCTTTTCCTTGTCTAGCAGAGTATGGAGTACGGAGTAGTGGTTGGTCGTTTTAACAGGTAGCATGTTTCCAGAAGTTCTCTTGCTCCAGGTCCTCCACACTGAGGCTGTGTAGCCTGGTATGGGGAAACCGACTGTCCGGGGTCTCTGCACACGAATCATCGGGGTCGTATCTCAGATAGTGTAATGTAGAGATGCCAGTGGAGCGCAGGAAGGCCAGCACACGATTGTAGTTCAGGCCTACCTGCTCCACGCCGTGACTATCATCGGAAAGGCAGAAGCGTCCCTTTCTCGCGATGAACTCCTGTAGACGCAAGCTGTTAGATAAGGACAAGCTGATAGAAAGGAAAGGAAAGGAAAAGGAGGGGTTGTTACCCTGCATATCTCAGCTTTGGGGTACGGCTCGCTCATCCCCTTACGCAGACTGGCCGAGTTCAATTCGAGCAGGCCGCCGTAGCCAGCAATGAAGTCGAGGTTCCGCAGTATCTTCTGCCAGACGTTTGGCCACCGGGTAAAGCTGCCGTCTGGCTCGTCGCTCTTCAGCCGTATCAGGTCCATGTGGCCGACGACCGGCGGCTTGAGCGCCTGCAGCATCGCCAGCTGGTCGTCGAAGTAGGCCTCAAACAGCTGCTCGTCCGTCCCGCCAGACAGCTCGCGCGCCTGGCGGTACGTAGGCCCGTCGTAGTCCACCGGAATCGTGTGAACATGGTGCACCGAGCCAACGAAGAAGTCAAACGGGAACCTCGCCAGCGACCGCTCGATCAGCGAGAGAGACGACGGCCGGATCCAGTCCGTCTCGAAGCCAATTGGGATGTTGATGGCCTGCTTGAACTTGTCGCGCAGCCTTAGCGCTTCCTGGAAGTACGCCGCCTCGTTCTCGAAGCATTCTTCCTCGGTGAAGGTCTGTAACCGGCAGAGTTAGCCCTCGTTCCTAGCAGGATACAGCTGGCGGCTTACCTCCTCCGGGTAGAAGTCTATCTTCTCGCGCGGCATGTGTTCGGACAGGCAGAAGACTCGCATCTCCTGTCCGATGGCCGTCTGGATGGTCTCCTCGAGCTGGTCTTTGGCATGGCCGGGGCAGAACTGGCCCGAATGGCTGTGATGAGAGAACGGCATCCCTCTATCTCTCTCTGTCTCTCTGTCTCTCACTATCTCCTGCCCGCCCTGTCTATCCGTCTGTCTATCTAATATCGATCTATGTCGGCTGGCCAAAGTACGCTTCATGAAACATCGCCGGCCGAGATGTTTCTGCTGGCTGGCTTCTTATATAGTTATAGTTTTCCGCTGCGGCGATTTCATGTGAGCTTCTTCGGGCCAAACTTCAGCATGATATACGTAAAAATATACAGATATCAACGTCTACCACTTGCTCGCTCTTATTTCGTCGGAGTAAAGGAGTCGATGGAACAGCGTCGTTTCAGCCTGTGATTTCCAATGGGACAGACATCTTTTCACCACGTGTGAGGCCAGCAAGGGGAGCCCGTTGCTAGTCGGATTCTCGATTCTTCTATCAAACGGCCGGATAGCTCGTCAAACCGGCCAGTACAGTCTGTTGCTCCTTTCGCCAGGGCCATCCCCGGCTCTCTCTCTCTCTCTCTCTCTTTTCGTCGGTGTATCAATATGGGAGAGGCGAAGATGTGCTCTCTCTTAGCTGTAGTTATGACCTGCATGAGCGTCTTAGCGCCTGCGTGGAGAGCCCCAAAGCGCCGGCAATAGTTACACCGGGAGTCGGTTGATAATCGACAGTGGAAATTGATCAGATACTCCTTCGACACTCCTTGTATGGAGTCGAATAGCTGAATGAACAGTACAGATGGACGATATCATTCGCATCTGCACCTACCATCGCCGCGACTTCGACCTGGCGGTTACCAGGCTGAATCCGCGAGTCCACGATGCGGTTCGAGACTCCCTGGCTCGTCCGTTCAACCGCCCGGCTGTCAAAACCCTTGGCCGAATGCAGGCTCTCCCCGTTGAGATCCTCTTTGAAATCTTGCTCTGCTTGGATCTGCGGTCTCTGTTCGTGTTCCGTCAAGTCAATCTCCGGGCTCGCCAGGTCGCCTCCGCCGTGCCTGGATATCAACCCCTGATAACGCATGCTCTCCAAGCCATATGCGTTATCCTACGCACCAAGATCGCGGCGTGGTACACATTGAAAGACGTCTTCAGTGTGCTCTGCACCCGAGACTGTCCCCAATGTGATGCCTTTGGCGGGTTTGTTTTCCTCCCTTTGCTCGAGAGGTGCTGCCTTCGCTGTCTTACCTCCTCTCCCCGATTCCGAGTCCTGCCAGCCGCAGAAATCAAGAAGCTACTCGGCATATCACAGGCACATCTACGCCAGTCGGTGCCGTTGCTGCATACCATTCCTGAAATATACTCCATGGACGAATCTTCCCGCAAAAGGAGAATGTATATCGTGGCCGTGAAGCAAGTATTCACTGCATATACGTTTCCTAGGACATCAGCGTCAGTAGCGGCCACAGCTCCTACAAACAGAGCCCACGCTGTTCTACGGTATATGGCTGGCACCACTCTACCGTATGTTAATGTAGAAAGTGGTGAGGTTCAGCGCGGCCTCTGCTGCTCAGGTTGTCAGATCCTAATTGAGGGCGGCACAACCCCAAATCCTACAGAAGATCTCGCGAGGCGGGACTGTGTATATTCGAAGACTGGTTTCCTCGACCATTTCCCACACTGCCCCGAGGCTCAAAAGCTGTGGAAGCGCAGCAAAGAAGGCAAGGTAGCCGTAAAGCTGCCAATGTCTATTATCCGAGGAGGCTATTTTAGCGAAAGAGATGTTGTCATGTCATTTAGCAAGGGAAAATATTCCGATCTGCAGGCAGTTAACTAACTTGCCTTAGGCTTTACTGGAAGCTCCTAACTGTTATGTCGAGTCGTGTGGTTCGCAGACTCGACTCGGGCTGGACGGCGTGTATGTTGAACTTATCTCAAGTGAGCCTGACGAGCGTACCCGTCCTAGCCCAGGTGGTGCACAAGCTTCTTCGAATCCTCCTGGAGACCATCTGAGGGCCTGATATTACGAAAGGTAGGCATTCTCTCAATAACTACCAAGCACGAAAGGCTTCAAAAATTTCATTCTAAATTCGGTTCCTGCTTTCCAGGATGGAGTGCCATCAGTCTATGGCAGTCCTAGTTATCGATGGAAGTTTGTAGCAAGGACGACAGCGAACACCGACTATTGATTGATGGAAAGGTGAAATACACCACTATTTCTCCGCACACATATGACAGAAGCACTCTCTCTGCTCCTCTGCAATCGCTACCGGCCCTACCAAAGGCCAAAGAATGGAACACGGCATATATCAGCCGAGACCCATCCACCTCTGAACTGGAGACTAGATTTTCGAACCGCGAGCTGGTCGGAGTGCATGAAATCTGGCATCCCAATTCCGTGGACTGCTTGACGTTAACCAGAGTCAAACAGCTTTCTGCAAATGCTTCAGAGGTCACTGTTTCTGGGGACCGGGACCCCGATGCTTCGACATCTTTAAGCCCGCAAGCCACTGCAATTCTCAAAATCGCCCGATTTGAATGGGAAATACCACGCATCGTACAGGAGACCAGAGCTTACAGGCTACTAGAAGGGAGCGGATTGGCCACACGGTTTCTCGGCCATGTCTATGAGCATGGGCGAGTGATTGGGCTCCTGGTGGAGAAAACCGAAGGGCGCGAGGCATCGATTGGAGACCTTCTAGTTTGCAAAGATGTTGTTTAGCAGTTTCATAAGCTTGGTTTGCTGCATGGAGATGTCAACAAGTACAATTTCATTATTCACAGCGGGACTGCAAAGTTGATTGATTTCGAAAATAGCAGGGCACATCTGGATGACTGCTCAGCTATGCAGTCTGAACTCCTTGGAGACTCAACTGCAGGAAAAGACTGGGCGTGGTGGAGGATTCATGTCTATAGAAAACCCAAGTTGATTTGTAACCATCATTCATTACGCAGTGAGGAAATGTGGCTCCTGCGCCTGTTCCCACCATGCAGTATTCTGGAGATCGCATCCTCTTGGCTACGGACGAGTTCCTTGGTTTATGCAATTACTAATATAGCATATAGTTATACCTTATTATAATATAAGGAAGTCTGCTATACTTGGCGGGCGTTCTTATGATTGAGCAGTATTGGCCGCATATACTCTTAGGTATCTGCAGCTATTTGTTCGGAAGAGGGCGCCAAGCTTCGTCCTTACTCCGAATATCCATGCAGACAAAGAGAGAGGTAACAGAATAATGGCCATTTCCCTCGTACTAGTCGGCAATTCCATCTTCGGCTACTTTCAAAGCTTCCTGCACTTCCTCTTGGGTGCCGTTATCCGGCACTTCTATTGTCGTCACGATGGCATGGGTTCCTTTGGAGTGCTTCTCCATCCAGTTTTTTTCCACGAAATGGGAATTTTGTTTCAGGGTTCAGAGATCCTCATCATGATCATCGAAAGGAAAATGATTGCTAATGGCTTCCCGCTCCAGTTCAGTGGTAGAATGCTCTAGAAGTCCTGCCTTGATGATTCGTGCAATATCCCTTGACCTTTCAAGGTGCTCATCATCGGGAACCCACCCCACTGAGTCGACATTCGCGCAAGCCTTCATTTCCGTAAACTCTTGTAGCTTTTCTTGTTCCTGCGCAAAGTCTGTCACGCATTTGTTTGAGAATTTCTTCCCGAGTAAATTGGACAGGGCAGTTAACCACGTTTGGGTATGATGACTTTTCAAGAGGCATTGGCCATTTCTCGTATGCTTCAATCATTGCGTGTTTGAGGGATAATGTATCCCCTTCCCAGGGAGCCCCAGCTAAGGTGAAAAGCTTTGCTCGAAGCATTGAGTTATAATTTCTCAACGCGTCAAAATGGTCAGGTAGTTGCTTCATCGTCAAAGCAGCATAGTAAAAGTGGGCTATCTGTTTCCGCATAGTTTCCTTTATAGATTCCTGTTCAGCCTCGCTCAGTGTATCGAAATTCTCAGGCCGTTTAACCATAGGTGTTGCAAGTCTTTCTGACACGGGGTCACCCCAGTTCTGGAAGTAAGATGGTATGTTTGCGCATAAACCGAGAGGTAAAACGGCTGCATGTTGCCAATCAATGACTCCTACTATTTCGTTTTCCGAATTAACCAAGATGTTGTTAGGTGAAAAATCTGGGTGTCGGAGGACCGGCCGAGCGAAAGGGTGTTCTGCTGGTATTTCTAAGTAAGGAGCAAGTTGCAGGTATTGCGACAATACTTGGACGTGGGCAGTCGGCGTCATTTCTTTTAATTTGTGCAATTCGCGCAGGTACCGCTCGACATGGAGGCGAGGCTTTCCAAAGTCTTTACAGAATCGAATCTCACGTTTTGCTGGAGCTTCAAAGCACTTTGAAAACGTTTCCCCTATCCCCAATGATTAGCAATTTTGGCTAGGGAGAGAAAGATAAGCAGGGTGTAGTACATGGGCCACGATCGACGTCTAACGATTCTCGTTCCTTATACCACCATTCATACTGCGCAATAGGGCCAACGGCTATATCATCGGCAGTGGTCTGTTCGGGTAATAGCACATTGGGTTCCGATGATGTGAGATCTTTACGGTAGTATAAGCTGCCGCTTGCGGGGAATGTAATAGACATGAACCGCGTCTCGACCGCGACAATCTGCTTCATAATTTCGGCGCGAGTCTTATTACCAATGGTAAACCACCGGTCTCCGAGAGGGCTACCGTTGATTTTTTCTAAAAGTAGATATTCAGCGCCAACGGAGTTTGAATTGCTTGCAGAATAGCCAAGAACCCTTGGAACTGGTAAACCACGCGAGTGTAGTAGGCCAAGGGTAGCAGCTTCACTGGCAACGGCAAAGCGCTTTGGTACCATCGAGTGGTAAGGAATCCTGGCAAGAACCGTATAGCCGTCTTTGAACGTAGCTTGAAGTACACGGTTAAAGCCACCTTCTGCGAGTTTCGTTATCGAGATAAGATCAGATTCCGGTCGACCGGTAGATTGGCATATGACGGTAGCTAGAGCATCATGATTAAACTGCACATGGCGTTCTGCAAGACGAAGCTGCTCGTTGAACCTATAATAGTCGACCATTAGATATTTTATTTTAACATGATGCTGTGGATAATTCTTACAAGAATCGACCAGACGTGTACTCAAACAGCTCCGGATTGCTGCTTTGGGTACCCACTGTCCTTATAGCTTGATGGCGTCCTGGCGCAAATAACTGTAAGAACGACCGAAGCCACATCCTCTTACCTGAGGAATCACGTAATACACAAGGTACTTTCCGTCTTTCAGTCGATTGGAGGCGTACGACCTCAAGTATCTTGACATTTTCAAATTTGAGGACCTTTCCCCCTACCGAAAACCTCTTGGAGCCTCCGGCCCGGTCCGCTCTTGGCACTTTGTATATATCGTGCAGGAGATGTCGCTAAGGCGGCGTGCAGAATGAATTAATTGCATATTGACACCTATATAGGGAAAATGGTTCCGGGCTCACAACTCCGGAGTAGCTGCAATAACCGTTGCAACGACATACTCCCCGTCGTGAGAGATCGAGAGCTTCCCAGGCTGACCTACAGATCCTCCTTCACGAAGATATACCACCTCTGGTCGTCCGTCTCCGCCAGCTTCAGCTCGAATCATCACTTCCTTCCAGTTTACACTTGCCGCACCTCCAGGAGCCGCCTTCCGAGCCGCTTCTTTAGCAGCAAACCGTCCAGCTAGCCATCTTGCAATTTCCGTGGACGTCTGAGCAGTTATAGGTTGAGAAGGTAACTGGACATCAGAGGCAACAGACGACAGCTTGAACTTGGATTTGAAGTATGCCTGCTCCTGTTCGCAGAGTATACGACGGACAAATCTGGAGAGGGACGTTTTCTGGTTGGTAGCGGCGGCAGGGTCGAGACTGGTGCTGGCGGCGACGGAGCGGGCAACGAGTCGTTGGATACGGGGGATATGGACGATATCAGTGCCAATATTCAGCGCAAACGGGAACGGGAGCTGCTTCATTGGGGGATTTATGACAGTGATCTGGCTGTCGCTTAACGCTGCCCTTCTCTTCTCTGTTCTCTCTTCGAATTGTTGTCTCATCGTCGTCGTTTATCTTGACTTTAAGCTTCAAAAGCTCAAAAAGCTTCTCGAGGAAGCTAAAAGTGTTATATTACGTAATTGCCATGGAACATCAAAAGTCCGAGATCCCTGAAGTTTTTCCGGCGGTTGCTTTTAAGGGGAAAAAGTTAAGGTAAAAAAAGAGACATCAAAAGACGACGACGAGATGGACGTTTAGTTGGTGGAGAGACGATGAACAGACGGTGGCTGTTCCTCTGTCCCAGGTTTCATTCCGTAAAACGGCCTCTCGAGCAGTTGCTGGCGTCATGTGTGCATCTGAAAGACTGTCCATCCCGCGTAATCTAAGCTCCTCGGTGTATATTTAAGCTGCTGCTTGTAGCTCGGATCCTTCCTGCTCGTCTGTCTATCTGTAGCTTACTGCGGTATCTTGTCACGACGTAGGCTGGGCTGCTCGCCGCCAAAGAACGTCTGCAGTAGCAGTGTCCAGCAGAGTCAACCGTCTCTCTGTATATGCCGTAGCCGTAGCCGTCACCCTCGCCGTCCCTGCCGGTGACACAAAGAAGACACTTGGGCGATGGACCAAACGTCGTCGCTGGCTCGACCCGCTGATTGGCCGAGGGGGAGCTGCCATCCCCGCAGCCCTATTATTCGCTCGCTGGGCGAAAGGAGGGAGTTTGCCGAGTGTGTATCAGACGAGGGATACCGACAGTTTGCTACCCTTTCGCCCTGTTGAGGATCTCAAGTGGCCTGACTGACAGGGCTCGACCTGGATACCTAGCTAGTTAAACCAGTTATATATCGTTATCACAGCAACCGACGTTTCGTCCTCTGTCCACGGGAGGGGAGGTCACTATGCGCACCGTTGTCTGCCACGGAAGCCCATACGATGTAAGCTGATAATAACCCGCTCATACCAGCATCTCACGTCATAAACGTGTCGAACCCAGCTGACACTGAACCTTCTCCTGCTCATCTAGGTAGGGCGCCAGCATGGAGAACAGGCCTCCAAAGAGATACATGGAAGCTTAGACTTCTACAAGACTCTGCTGAAGCAGAAGTCGTCCATGTCTTGGGCTGAAGTATGCCGAACAGCGCTCAAGTTCCAGCCTCTGCTGGAGACGACATTTCCAAACTATATGCAAGAGATACGAGGTGAGCTATTCGTTTTATCGCTGACATATTTATATCAGCATGTTGGCCTGGTCTGGCTGGCACCTCTGTTACACCGGTTCCAAGTTCTGCTCTGTACGCTTAGTCTTTTTTTTTTTTTTTGCTGCCGCCTATTGACACTTTCTTAACAGGAATCGCACAGGGAGCTGGTGTTGACGTGAAATCAGTACTGGCGTTGAATGTGCGTACCGAGATTGCATATGGCATGTTTGATGATGGATGCACAGCCTTCTCATGGAGGAATCCAAGTGCAAGCTTCCTTGCACAGAACTGGGATGTAAGTTGATACAACCGGCAGAGAAACATATACCCAAATACCATCTCCCACCTCTCTCTCTCTCTCTCTAACGGGTATTGTTATTCAGTGGGAAGATGACCAGGCGCCAAATCTCATCTCGTTGCACATCGCACCCCTAGATACGTCAAAGCCAACTATCCATATGGTCACCGAGGCTGGCATTATTGGCAAGGTTGGCCTTAACTCCAAAGGCGTCGGAGTCACCCTTAACGCCATCAAGGCAGAAGGCGTAGACTTCACCCGGCTGCCCTGCCACCTTGCTCTCAGACTAGCACTGGAAAGTTCCTCGCGTGTCGACGCCATTGGCAAACTAGGAAAAGTAGGTGTTGCATCGGCATGCCATATCACTATTGCCGACTACACAGGTGGTACTGGCCTCGAGTGCTCGTCTATGGATATAGCATGGCTCAACATGGGCGATTTCATGGAGAGCAGACCAGATATCATCACTCATACAAATCACTTTGTGCACAACCACAAGAACGGCTTGAAGTCCGTGATGTTCATGCCTGACAGCGAGGCCCGTCTGGCCAGGCTAAGAGAACTGCTGGCCCAGAGCGGGCCCAAGCCAGAGTTTGAGAGGATAGAAGAAATCCTGAAGGACGAGAAGGGATACCCGACCTCCATATGCCGACAGGCAAAAGGTGAGAATACAACGTCCACGTTGTTTAGCATTATCATGAACCTTAGGCAGTTGAAGGCCACTGTGATTGTTGGAAGGCCTGTTGACCCCCAAGGGGTTCTTGAGTTGAAGCCTTGATATGGGGGTATATGACTGATTATGTTAGGTTTATTTTTTTTATCCCCCCCCCTTTTTTCATGGTATATAGCATCTTGATGATTTCCTTCATGTCGCTTTTCGTGGTTTTATACGTTCATCCTTTACTTGGGCGTACCTAGTTCTCTTAACGTTAGTATATAGTGATGAAATCGATTTCATACAGACCGTGACCGTGGCTGTAATAATAAACAAGTGTTCAATGCCCGTGTTAGAAGATCCATAAAAGTGAGAGAAGTTGATCCAATATGTGAGAATCATGCCAAAAAAAAGTCTATTCATGCCGACACGATATCTATCATTCTCAGCGGGTAACCTAGTACACAGACACGTATGCACGCATTAAACAACCACGGAGATCTCTTTTCGCGCGCATTCAATGAAAAATCAATGCAAAAGGGAAAACCCGCCGCTGTACATATATTTTACATATATCAAGTCTTCCCGCTCACGCCGGCAAATCGAGGTCAAAGATTCGTCGAGGAGTAAAAGCGACGAAGTGATAGAGGAGAATCCAGGAAGAGGACGGCAGGTACGGGTTATACGGGTAGGCGAATTTAGTGCTTGGCTTTGGCCTTGGAGTCTTCGGTCTCAACGCTCTTGAGGAATTCCCTATAACAAAGGTGTTAGCATCATGTCCAACCCGTTTCCAAATGCCTAAGAAAATTATTGTAGGATTAAACCCCTCGACGTACTGGATGAAAGCCTCCTCGTCCTTGCTGCTGGCCTTGATTGGTGGGGCCTGAGCCTTGCTCTGCTTTCCTGGGAGGGCAAAGTAGATGCCGCCGGCAGTGCCACCGAGGACGGTCATGGCAAGCTAATTGAGGAAGAAACGTATCAGTAACAGACAACCCAATATAAATCGATAGCAGATATAATGGTGGCGACCCGTCACGGATGATCCTTTCAATCCGACGGGACCATCGGGGGCGTTAGGGAAGATGAGTGAGAACGTACGACGTGAGAACCGACTTTGCGGCCGAGGATAGTGTACGTGGCAACCATTGTGAAGGTGGTAAAGTTTCAGAAAGGTGTGTAGACCCTGGAATGCGACGTAGAGTGGCGGCGAGAGATCTCAATGCTGGTGCTGGCGAGCTGGGCTGGACAGAGCAACTTCTGCTTCTTCCTCGAAGTTGTTGCTGTTTTGCAAGTTCGACGTCGAATCGGCAAACGATTCACGTGATTAGTAACATAAGCAATGCTTAATAATATATGATTCAGCAGGGCTGGGATGACGTAAGGGGTTCCCCGGCTCTTGCCGCCGCTTTTGCCTGGCCGAGCGGGCTTCTTCTAGATGCGCTGGGAAGCTCCGTGTTTGCGAACGACCTCCTTCGTGTTGAGACGGCCTGATCGAAGTCCTTCTTGTCTCTCACGATACATCCGCAGTGTCCTGAGAGTGAGAAGCGAAAACTGGATTTACACTAATAATAGCTATCTTACCCTACAGCTTCAAACAGCTCGAGCTATGGCCAAGGACGAGCATGTTGCCGTGACGGGCGACTCTAAGCCGGCGGTGCCTCGCACCCGCAGACTGACCCCTGAGCTGCAGAAGCTCGTCGACCGTGAGGAGGAAATACTGGACCAGCTTTACGAGGGCAAGTAAGGCTAACTCCATCCTTTGAATCGTGTTCTTTTACCCTTCAACTATTCCGAGGGGTGGGATTAAGCCCCTCCGTTGCCTGATTGCTACTTGGGACGCCACTGTACTCACGCACACATCTGGCTGGCTATAGCTCGGTAGATACTGTTGATACCGGATATCGATACTCGGCCTACGCAGCTCGAATCCGGACGCTGCTTCTTTCTGCACACCGTTATGTCGCATATACATCGGACATTGGAGAGTCTTTTCGGCCGGTGGCACATCCATGGCTGGTTAAGGGCGCCTACGGTGTCTCCTGGGCATATATCTTTGGGGATGTCGCTAACGAAGGATACAAGGCATACCTACGAAACCAGGAGATACTCGCTCCAAAGAGCGATGCTTTCCGGAAGGCGACTGAGGCCATTGCTGCTGGAGACGTTGATTTGAAAAGCAGTGCTGACCGCAAGGCACTGGAGGAGCACTTTATGAACAAGGCTGCACTTAAGGACGCCGAAGAGACATTAACCTCAACAGCATGTCCCAAACACCCAATGCCGTGGAAAGATCCCGAAGAAGATACTCTAGTTCCATGGCCTACTAAAAAGATCCCTCTGAGCGAGGATTACCGCTCCGTTATGGCTGAGAGGGCCGTGTTCCAGTCCATTGCCAGTATGGGCTTACCTGCATTCACAATTCACTCGATCGTCAAGTACTCTGGCCGAGCCATGAAGAACATGAAGGGCGTATTTTTCAGAACTTGGGCACCAATTGGGGTAAGTCAGGCCACTCCAACGCATGATTAAACCGGGGTTTACAGCGCTGACATTTCGCCTCTCTCGTTGACGTAACAGCTTGGACTTTCCGTTGTCCCAGCCCTACCGTATCTGTTCGACAAACCCGTTGAAGAAGCGGTCCAATGGGCGTTCCACAACGCCTTCCTCATGTTCGGTGGACCTAATGCCGTTCCTCAGGAAACTCTACCCCAAGGAGCATTCTCGGAGGCCTTCCATGCAGCGCAGGCTGTGAAAAAACAGCGGCAAGAAGAGCGAGAGCGTCGAAGGGAAGAACGACGACTTCGACGCGAGAAGTCTGAATAAAAGCTTAAGCGACATACGCACCATCCTTGACCTACTTATAGCTTTAGCCCCGTTATACCCACAGTCCCCTTTAGACTGTCGTACGCCAAGTTCTGACCAAGCATTGTTACCCGCCAGTGGCTCACATCTATATCCAAGGCATATTAACCATCTCTTCTTATTTTGTCCAAACTCCCCTTTGTCTGAAATAATGTCCGTCTTGTATATCCACTACTTACTCACCTGCATTCCGCATTGTATAACAAAAAGCGCAAAATGATTGATGTAACGTAGCTAATCCAGGCATTTCCCTTGCTTTGATCGAATCCTTGCCGCAAGTATTAATCAAGGAACCAATGCACGTACTCCCATAAGGTGGTATATACAATTCAACATGCTGTATTCGCTAAGTGTATAATTTATAAACAAGAAAGTCTAGAACTTTTTAGTCTTTTAGACCCCATGGATAACAGAACAGAAACCTGGACGGGCGTCTTGAATCTCCTGTACATAACGCCGTGAATCTATCAATTCGCTCATAGTGTTCCCAAGAAAAAAATCCAAGTCTATTTAACCAAGCCAGAAATTCAAGTAAACGGACGGGGAAAAGGTCATGAAGGGGGCAACGACAGGCACTTATTACCCCAGAGATATAGAAAATGGATCCGTATGAACATTAATCAGGAGGAGTATAACGCAAAGGAAGACACATTGAGCGTCCTTCGTATAGATCAAATGCATCTAATGGCTCGGAAGTGTTAGCGTTATATGTTGATGCAAACGGTATGTGGTGATCCGGGGTCTGTTGCTTGGAGATGCATTGGCGCTTCTTGTCCCCTGCTGGTGCTCGCTAATGAGGTTGCAGTAGACCGACAGGGTCTCCCGGTATCTCATGCATGAAAGAAGTATTTAAGATCTCTGCCCCGGGTCAATAGAGCTCATAAATCTTTCTCTCATTCTTGTATTCACCACGCCACCAACACCATAGGCTGGCAGAATTCGTCCAATTCTAGCAATACAGCTTGGGACCCAGTCTCTCTTCACGCGAGCCCATCTATCAGCTGCTGGTAACCCGCCGGGAGGCTGGCGATTATAGAGGTCCAGTCCTAACAAGTGGAAGGGCGTGCTGATTAGCTGGATAGAAGCCGGGATGGCGAATTGAGCAATGGCATATTTCGACTTCGGATTTGATGCAACCGCATCTGGTACGTATCTGGCTACTATGGGCGGGAGATTGAAGGAGGCAAAGATGGTGATACTATCACGGAAGCAGAAGAGACCATATGATGTTATTGGAATCTTTGGTGCGCTTTGCGGTAGGCAGGCGGCCGCTGCTTTGATCTGTGGAGTCACGGCAGCAGCGGTCGGGGCCTGTGCGGATGCTGATGAGGGCTTGTTTCCTTGTCCTTGGGTTCCAAATATCTTAACAAACCGGGAGTCTTTATACACGCATATTGACATGTTCACCATGGCCGTGGTTAGGAATTTCATGAATCCAGTGGATACATTGTTGTAAGCCTTATCTTCCATGGTGGACACGGCAGTGTCGATCAGGTTGGCAGAGAGGTAGGTGGATGAGTAGAGGGTGTAAATGAGCAGGAAGGGAGTCGAAGTGAGGAATCGATGGGGTTTTGTTATCATGCCCTTTAACGATGAGGCCAAACTCGATTGGATTGATATACCCTTTGCTGCTTTCTCAATAATCGACCTAACACCAACCCAATTGTCAGTTCCGTATCCATACTAAATAGAGATATATCATCACAGCAGGGTGACTCAAGACTCACTTGTCGATAATGGTGATCATCGGACATATGAGGGCACCAGCAGTTGCAGCACTAACCACATCGACTGCCAGCCTTGATCCCAGGTCCCTTGTATTCCATCTCCGAGCGCCCCCGAGGACGGTCTCTGGCACATGAAGTTGGCGCGGCTCAAGGAAGCCCTGGCGGCCGTCAACTGGAGTGACAGCCCCCGCCTTGGACTCGACTCCTTCTCGAGACATCTCGGTATAGCACAGCGGTTGTTGGCACGCTTTTGGGTACTCGATAAGAGAACGGAAGGAGTCAAAAGAACCCGCGAGGACTTATTCCGGCATGAGACAATGAGTTCTCCGGTAATGTCTGAGATACTTCCGGGTATCGGGGAACAAAAAGGCGAAGTTAGTTCTCAGCTTATATAGGAGTCCAACGCGGCAGCACACGAAAGACGACCGTCTCATCCAGGCTGTCCTCGAGATATTCGTCCGCCAGAGAGAGAAAAAGCCCCAGCCAGCGCCTTTTCAGTCTGGCCTGCTCGGGCATCCCTGGCACCTTTTTAAAAGCAAAAAGCCTCTTGGGCGAGTTCAAGTACAATCACGTGATCAATTCCGGGATGACCCCTGCGAAACGGGCGCATCGAGATTGGCTGGCAGAGGCAAAAAAAGAAAGAAAAGCAAGCAAGCAAAGCAAATAATAAAGATGGAGAAGGGGGAGAAAAAGATGCAGGTTTCATGGCAGCTTGAGGCCGAACTAGCCTGCGGAACCGGGGGACCGAGACCTTTCCGGCCAGTAGCGTTGCTGGACAGCGTTGGGGTTGCTTCGTTGCTTCTTCGCTGGCTGGCTGGTTCTTCTCAAGTCGTCCTTGCAAGAGTGTCAGCCGAGTTGGTCGAGAGCCAGAGAAAAAGCAACCATCGTCGTCCTCACCAATGAACGGGAGTCGGGTTGGTGATATCGTCGGATAGAGCAGTTCATTTCCTATCCTCTCGAGGGATAGGATCGCGTTGTCGCGGTTCGGAGCGAAGAAGCAATATGGACGGTGTGACTTTGATAGACAAGTCGTTTCTCAAAGATGAGTTGTTCATGCGAGTTACATCTCAACCGTCTTTTGCCCGGGATATAAAGCTCTGTGTTCATTAATTCTTGTCAGCCTGCGACTTGATTGATAACTAACCGCCACAGGGTATGATCACAATACTTTCATTGTCTGCAATGGACAAGCCAATTAATTATAGGGTACTCGATGACCTCGCCACTCACCACGAAACAATGTCGGTAGCCGAATACCTGATAGCCGGAGATGAGAGGATAACTTAACACGAAAGGAGCTAGGGGAGACTGCTAGTGCAAATGGAATATACCCCTTGATAACAACACCAACTCCGGACCATGGGAAACATATGTAGGATGCTCGTTAATGATATTTATTTCTCTATATAGGATGTATCAGCTTGATATATCCGTCTATTTTAACCAGTAATAACTGCCTTGGAAGTTCGAATTATAGCCTCACTGGCGAATCCAAGGAACTCATTTCTATCTCTTCTATTTTTTCTCCACGCCTGGATGCAGCAAACTCGGGCTTCTAACGAACTTCGGGGTTAGCAATACCGCGCTGGCATCTCTCGTTATTTCTATAACGTTTTCTTGTGCTAGTGAGCAAGTTCTATGAAAAGATATCTATTATCCCTGCCATATCTTCCTTCTCGCCTTGGGTATCACTTGTGCCATCAGCACCGAAATCGAAGATTTCGTCTTTTGTCTGATTCAAAAGATTTGTCCTCCAACTCGTGGTGGCAGGTAGTTTCTGATTTTGCGATCCCCACTGAACGAACGCATTGAATATTTAGACAATGAGGCCATCATTGTATCCCGATATTGGAGAACATATGGATGAAATCATCATTAACACTGGGCTCTGGATTACCGCAACCATGGTAACCGAGCGGCCCTTGAACCGTAACCTAAATCTCACTAACTGGACACTTCTAAATCTAGCATTTGAACATAGTTTCAAATCCATGGTAAGGCGAATCTGATATCCGAAGTCATATTATGATGATTCATATAATACTGGAAAGATATCATCTATCAGTGGACTAACTGGTGGGTAACTAGTCGGTGAGAAGCGAGGAATATGCGCTATATACAGTCTCTTTCACACAAAAACGCGCCATTTCTAAACGTCTGGAGTCATGTATTATCTGTCCTAGAACTCCAGATCAGCTGGGCATCTAAATGACTTGAAAGAGTGATAGGATTGAATAGCCGAGGCTTCAAGATGAAGCATCACTTATAGTACGGTCGAATTGCTGTCTGTCGGTTAACGTGTTCGATGTAACCAGCTCTTCGTATACTCGACTAGGATAATCGTCCAGGATAAGGCGCTAGTTAGGCGATCTGGCCCCGGTCCGAATATCAATTTACCCCAGATAAATTTCAACGATGCTCTGCAGTTGAACAACCCCAAACCCATAATTGCCGACATCTCCCATACCACACCATCGGGACCCGATGAATCCAGATATATCTCCACCGCCTAAACTCGAGAAGGCTGATGAACCAAATATTGGACTAGACAATGATAAAAGCCCAACATCTGTTGATGTGGAGAGAGATGAAGCGGACGAGGTCCTTAGGTCTGTCCAAGCCTATTCACCAGAGGAAGCAAAGCGGATATTGAGAAAAGTTGACTATCGATTCATTCCACTGCTTACCCTGCTTTATCTGCTTGCCTTTATCGATAGAGGCAACAGTACGTATAGGTCACTATTATTTAGTTATTCGCTTTACATGACGGAATGCTAACCTGCTGACTAGTTGCAAATGCCAAAATTGCCGGTCTGGAGAAGGATTTGCATCTGGTAGGCTATCAGTACAATATAGCATTGACACTCTTCTTCGTTCCATACGGTCTGTTTGAAGTTCCTAGCAATATCATCCTTAAAATCTTGCGACCATCAGTATGGATTGCTATCATGATGCTGGGATGGGGTACCGTTACTACGTAAGTGTTCCCAAGGGACTTCTTCATAATAGCAGTTTCAACTAACACCAGGTTCTAGATTGCTGGGAGTAGTCCAGAGTTACCAGGGTCTGCTTATTGCTAGATTCTTCCTAGGTGTAGCCGAGGTATCTACAAATTATGAGCCATATCTATACCTAATACAGCAATTGGTGGCTGACTTGGATGAACTATACAGTCTGGCTTCTTCCCAGCAGCTACCTATCTTTTGACAATATGGTACAAGCGTTATGAAGTTCAGCATCGAATGGCCATCTTTTACGGTTCTGCTTCCTTGTCTGGAGCATTTTCAGGCCTCCTTGCATTCGCCATCCAAAAGATGCACGGTATTGCAAATCTTGCGGGATGGCGTTGGTAGGTCGTTGTTTATTGAGTGGGAAACGGGCAATTGACTAAAACATGGAGATAGGATATTCATACTTGAAGGCCTCCTACCTGTTGCTTTCTCCATTGTGATCTGGTTTATACTCCCGGACAGCCCTGGGAGAGCAAAGTTTTTAACCAAGGACGAGAAGGAGTTTATTATAAACAGACTGTCTCTCGAGACGGGTTCTGGACAAGGCCGAGTTACTAACAATGACAAGATCACACCCAGACATGTCCTAGCTGCTTTCAAAGAATGGAAGATCTACTGCGCTATACTGATGTTCTGGGCGAATACTATTGGCGTTTATGGGTATGTATATGCCTCCCACTAGGGATAAATGGGCAGCTAAGAGCTATCTAGATTTACTGCAACGGTGCCTACAGTTATCAATGATCTTGGATATACTGCAGCGCAAGCTCAGCTGTTGACTATACCTATATATGTTGTGGCAACCATAGGGATTCTAGTATTCGCTTATCTCTCTGATCGCTATGAGCAGAGAACTCCATTTATCATTGCTGGGAATACAATTGCCCTTTTGGGATTTGCAGCACAGCTAGCCATTCCACATCCTCGATATCCTGGGTTGACATATGGAATGCTGTTCCTCGTTGCTTCTGGACTGTACTCGGCTTTCACCCCTGTGCTATGTCTCGTTGGTATGTTTTATTTCACTTATAGGCTCTAGATATAGTCAAGGGGTATCACTAACCGATCCTCTAGCTAATAATCTTGCACCCTCATCCAAGCGAGCCGTTGGGATGGCTATTCTGATTTCCATTGGTAACTGGGGCGGCATAGCTGGATCGAATATATATCTCGCTAAAGAGAAACCAAAATACCCGACAGGTTTTGGAGTTTCTTTGGCAATATGTGGAATTGCAATTATAACAGCTATATTCCTCCGAGTGGAATTCAAGAGGGTAAACGACCAGCGGGATAAGCTAATTGCGGAACAAGGAGAAGGAAATATCAGAGCTAGGTATACAGAGAAGGAGTTGTTAGATATGGGTGACTTGAGCCCATTTTTCAGGTATACCCTTTGACCTCATGGCTAGATTGAAAAGGGCAAAGGCAGAAAAGCCGAAAATAGTTCGCACAGATTGCAGTGACCTGCTACTTATTCATCCAAAGTAGCTGCAAATCTAACTGCCAAGTTAATTTTTCAGTTTGGAAATAAATATACACTTAACATTTAACATTCCTCCGTTGGAAGGCGGTTGGACGCCATTCCATAGTAATATGGTCGTGATATGTTTTATAACACAGTTTACCGGGAACGCCTGCAGGATGGGAATCAAAAAATGATGGAGGTTGAGGGAAAAAAAAAAGAAAAAAAGAGTCAGATTATTAGGCTGTGGAACTCTGGTTGATGTTTTGGAAGCCCTCTAATGTGACATTAACAGCACCAGCTTGGACCAGCTATTCCAACAGATCTGTTAGTACATCGTAATTTGAACGGGTGTGGAAAAGGGGAGGTAACGGCTTACAGCTCTTCTCAAATCATCGATTAGATCATCTGCATCTTCAATACCTACGCAAAGACGGATCAGGTCTTCGGGCATGGCCCTCTCCTTACGAGTCTTTGCATCGATACTGGCATGGCTCATACGGCATGGCATGCTGATTAAACTGTTCACGCAACCAAAGCTGACGCTGATTGCCCATAGCTTTGCACTTTCGACGATGCGTTCACTTATCATCACATCTCCCGTCTCAAACGAAAGAACAGCGCCAGCTCCTCGAGCCATTGTCCAATGGAGGTCATACTGAGGATGTGATTTCAGGCCCGGATATCGAACTCTGAACCCGTGTGATTCAAGAAACTCGGCAATTCGCTGGGCATTATTTTGTTGCTGTTCCATGCGAACCTTGAGCGTCTTGACGCCACGAAGGAGAAGCCATGAATCAAATGGTGACAGACCGCACCCAGAGGCATTTATGGGGAAGTATAGCTTGTCTCCGAGTGCTAGGTCATTAACCGCAATGACACCTGCCATCAAGTCGTGGTGACCGGAGAGGTACTTAGTTCCACTCTCATATACAATATCAGCACCCAGGTCTAGCGGGTTAAGCAGCAGTGGGGAAAGCATGGTGTTGTCTACAGCAACTAAAGCACCAGGATTTTTAGCATGGGTCACTGTGGAGATTCGGCGTATATCAACGATTTTAATCAATGGGTTTGTAGGAGTCTCAAGCAAGACCATAGCTGTCCTGGAGTTGAGGACCTGCTCAACATTTTCGGGATTGGTAGTATCGACATGGTGTACAATGATTCCTCCATGGGTAGACAGGTATTTGAGAAGTCGGTTGGTCCCTCCATAAAGATCGTCTCCCGTTACCACTTCATCCCCAGGCTTGAGGAGTCGCGTGATCACATCCAACGCCGCCATGCCGGACGATACGACGAGTGCTCGCTGTGCCGACATAATCTTAGCCAAGTGACGTTCAAGATGTGTTCTAGTAGGGTTCCCCGATCGTGTGTAGTCGTATTCACCGCCCCCACCGCCCGATGTCTGTTTGAATGTAGCACTCTGTGTATGGTAGAGCAGGTTAGTAAAGCAGCAGAATAAGCGCAATTAACGCAGATATTAACAGGACTATAGCCATCATGACTAAGGTAGGAGGATATCGTAGTGATGATACTTACCTGGTATATCGGTACGCTGCTGGCATTGAACTGGTCATTACCCTCGGTATACACTAATTCAGTTGCCAGGGCATATCTCCTCCCCGCCCTTGGGCTTGACGGAGCCGGTGATGGCGGCAGGTCATGTCCAGCTAAGTCAACATGTGGGAATGCCTTTTTCACAGCGCTGCCATCCTTGCCGGCTGTAGCAGCAGCAATAGCCCCTGGCGGGGGAGGGCCTGATTCGGACATCACGGGTGTCAATTATAAGAGAGAACAAACAAGACGGTAAAAGAAACAAAAGTCCAAAATGATAAGCAGCTGTAGTAATAGTAGGTGTCAATATATGCCAGGAATATGCCAGACAAGGACCTCTTGTGGTTTTGATATCAAGAGGGCTGGCCGTGACTCCTCGTACTTTTCCCCAGCAAAAGCGATCGCGTCATCTAAAGCTGGAACACAGATATTATGTAATCCCCGGCTTCGGCAACTGAGGTTCCAAGGTATCGAAGAGATAGGGGCAAAGCGGGCGATGCAGAGATGATACTTGATGAGATGGACGGTTTGAAAGTGAAGAGACTTATTAATTTTGTTTATTGTGGCTATATATATATATTTTAACAAGAAGAATGAAAAAAGGGAATAAGTGTAAGAAACCCTCCGATCTACGGTTAACGCCTATATCCAGTTGAATAACACATGGTTATACATCCAATTTTCTCTCATGACGTCCATGCATAATATTATCACAGTCCTAGTCCAGCCCCTCTGCTACTGGGACAACGGCAGATGCGTCGACCATCTCGTCCTGCCCTGACTCAGTGCTCCAGTCCTTCTCTGAGAGAGACTTTCTGAGCGACGTAGTTGAGTGTATTGATGATTTGACTGCACCGGCTTTCTTGAAGAAGTCGGTTGTTCTCACCCCTCGTGCCTCTTCGGGGTTGACGGAGTGTATCATTGCTCCGGCATCTCGTTTTTCTCGGATAAGCTCTCTGACGGGGACCATAGCTGCATCTCTACATGCTTCTTTGATGTCGCTTCCGGACATTCCATCCATGACATTAACGAGATATGACAAGTCAAAATTGTCTTTGTCTAACTTCGTATCCTTGAGCACAATGTTAAGGATTCGTCGTCTCTGGGCTGCCAGTGGTAGAGTGACAGGGAATTTCTTGGGCATTCGTCGTAGGATGGCTTCGTCAATATCCTGGATCCGGTTGGTGGCACCAAGTATAAGAACCCTCTGGGGTTGGCCCATGGCGTTTGCCGAAGTCAGCCCATCCCAGTGGGTCATAAATTCGGCCTTTACCATACCACTAGCCTCATGTTCTCCACTGCGTCTTGTTCCCAGGACGGCATCGATCTCGTCAATGAAGACAATGCTTGGTTCTAGTTTCCGTGCAAGTGAAAACACAGCATTAACAAGCTTATTTGAGTCCCCGTACCACTTTTCCGTCAAGGTTGAGATGTGTAGGTTTATGAAACATGCTCCGCTTTCATGTGCAAGAGCCTTTGCCAGCATGGTCTTTCCACACCCCGGAGGTCCGTAAAGCAGAACTCCGGAAGGCGCGCTGAGTAGAGAAGAAGTCGTTCTGTATAGTTGTGGCATGGTAAGTGGGTATATAACCGACTCCTTCAACTCCTCAATGATTTCGTCCAGGCCACCTATGTCTTCGAATGTCACAGGGATATCTTCTGGTGCAACAACGTCCATGGCGATGGTTTGCTCATACTGAGTCAAGACAAGCTTCTCCTTTCGTTGCCGTCGCTTGCCATTCTTCTTCTCGCTTCCCGACGAATCATTGTCTGAGTCTTCTTCCCGGTCTAATCGTTTGAGGACCGCGGCAGACTTGCGTTTGGCTTCTTCACGCTTTTGGCTGTCTGGATCCAATTCGAGTTTGGATAGTAGGAACCGGACTACAAAATAAGTTGAGAGAGACTATTGGTAAAAACAAACATGTCAGCAGGTAACAATCATCAACGGCTAGCTGAACAGGGTTTGCACGCACTGTGCCAGCGATCAAAATCAGCTCCTGAAAAAGCTGTTGCCAGCGCCGGGCGCCGTTGGAGGCCATCGGTGAGGAGGATCTGTCTGTTCGGTACAGTCAAACGTGCTCGCCGCGCAAAAGGGCCCTCTGTAGCAGCACGGCGCAGTATTCAGCAGGCCCTCTTCTGAAAACTGAGACGGACGAGCTTCTCAAGAGTGTCAAATATATTAGTGTCTTTGCTTGTGATCGATACAATAACTGCTGCGTTGCCATGACTAACTAACTTGTGGCTTGCGATGCTTCTTTCCGCCCATTTTGCGCCGAGGCCTGAAGTTCCGCTGTGGCTGAGGATCACGTGCACCAGCAGCCAAACAACGCCAAACAGACGAAAACACTCGAAGGGGTTCGGATGCTGTTGATAATTGAACGATACTAGGGCTACTGTTTACTGGAATCATAACCTCGAGCGCGGTTAAATCGAAGAAAACAGCTTACATAGATCCAATGCCTAAGCGCAAGGCAGAGTCGAAGCTTTCGTCGCTGGTGAATGGAGACATAGAGGACGATGATCTGAGTCGCGTCGAAGATGATGATAACGCGAGCATAGAACCTCCGCCAGCCAAAAGACAAAAAGGACGGCCAAAAGCCGCTACGACAAAGGCTACGACCACGGCAACAAAGACCACAAGGAAAACGCGCTCGAAAGTGGTGGTGGGCCCAAAGAAGCGTGGTGCGGCGGCAGGGCGAAAGAAGACAACCAAGGTGGTGGAAGAGCCGCCAGCTGACGATGTGGACAGTGCTGTGGAAGAAAATGAGACATTAGGGAGAGAAGGGGTTTCAGAGGACGAGCTCGATTCGCCGGAGACTGTTCAGAACCAAGAGAGTCAAGAGAAAACTCGAACACGAGGGAGAGCAAAGGATACGGAGACCATAAGGGACGGGGAATTCGAGTATACACCTACAAATACCAAGTCAGCGGCAGTTAGTGGACAAAAAGGAAAACAAACGGCAAAACAAGCGGCCAAGGAACCCTCTCCACCTGTAGAGATAACGCCGGAAACTGTGAAGAGTACATCCAGGACTAGTATATCCGCCGGCAAAACACAAAGATTCACGCCTTCAGGAGTCCACTGGGCTTCGCCTGTGAAAAGTACGAATGTCTTGCCCCAGCACAGGACATCTAGGCCATCTGGGATAAAACCGTGGGGTAGCCCTACAAAGGGTCGTGAGACGGGAGATGGAGAGGTTGCTCTCAGGCTGAAACTGGGTGAAATGACCAAGAAGTATGAGAGCATGGAAGGGAAATACCGTGCCTTGCGGGAGATTGGCATAGTTGAGGCAAACTCAAACCTAGAAAAGATACGGAAACAACATGAGGAGACCACCGCAGGTAAGCTGCTTTTATTCAATGACGTACGTGGTGATAAGCTAACAAGCAACATCGGTAGCATCTAAGCAACTGATCAACTCCCTGAAGAGTGAACTATCAAAGCAGTCAAGCGCATCAAAACAGACCCGAGATTTGCAGAAGCAACTTGAATCACGGAACGAGGAAGTGGCTCAGCTGCGACAACAACTCGAAGAAATGAAGTCTGGCTTAAACAAAGCTCAGACAGAAGCCAAGTCGCTGCAAACAAAACTTACAGCTGCTAGGAATGCTGCTGCTAACGCGGAGAAAGTAGCTACAGCAAGAGGCTCTGCTGTCAGGTCAGGAGCTGTAACTAGGGATACTGCCAATGGTCTCTTGGAGTCGGCTCAGGTGGCCCAGCTCAAGGAAGACCTGTATAGCGACCTTACCGGCTTAATTATCCGAGACGTGAAGAAGAGAGAATCAGACCACTTGTATGACTGTATACAAACTGGTCTTAATGGAAGTATGTTGGCCCATCTCTCCCATCCCCCGTTGTCTTGCCATGTCTCCGTTCTAACCTGCGAAGTAGCACTTCACTTCAAACTTGGTGTCAGCCACAACATGGACAACCGGTCAACTGCCAGCCTGGAAGCAGCGGAGTTCCACTATATTCCCTTGCTGGATGAGAACAGAGACCGAGATCTGCTAGAGATACTCCCCGACTATCTTTCAGTAGACATCACTTTCTCGCGGCAGCACGCAGCTACATTCTATAGCCGCGTAGTAGATAGGCTCACAAAGAAGCTGACGGACTCTTAGTTCGTCCTCATATATAGCTCAATCCACCGCCATTTCCCTCAGTTCCTCAGTTCCTCATCGCCTCATCTTCTCTTCGTCTTTTCCATCTCGTCTCCCTCTGCGACCGTCCTCCAAAGGTCCTCCATCCGTTCCTCGACTTAAGCTTAACTAAAAATTTTGCTATTTTTACTTTTTTTTTGGCGCGGGCCGGGGAGCTCTGTGCCTAAGCATCCAATCAGAAGCCGTGATCAGGACATTATTTTTCAGCGAAAGCGACGGGCAGCAAACACCTTGTTGTCCTTCGCCCCTTAAGCCTCAATATTTAGTGCTAGTCACGCCCTCCCACCTTCGGCGCTGGTGATGGACTGCGGCCTCTCCCTCTGCCTTCATAGCCTGCTTAATCGAAGGCTTCGACATTCTTCCGCACCCTCATCCGTTGCCCGACGCTGTGAAGAAGCTGCTACTGGAGGGGAGAGAGAAAGAAACGCCGTGCCGCCATGTCTCGCACAGGGTTGTTTCTAGCCCTAGCGGTGCTCTTTCACCTTATCTACACCTACTCGATCTTCGACATCTACTTCGTCAGTCCAATTGTAAGTGGCATGCGAGAATATGGTGTCGAACGCGCTCCCAGTGCCAAAGCCCCCGCCAAACGCCTCGTCCTGTTTGTTGGTGACGGTCTGCGCGCAGACAAGGCATTCCAATACTTCCCGGACCCTTCCCCTCCAAAGACCGGGTGCTCGAAGGATAGCGAGGACAATATAACCTGTCCAGAACCCGATTTGACGCCCAAACCACTTGCGCCGTTCCTCCGTTCACGCGTCCTGGAGCATGGCACCTTCGGAGTATCGCATACTCGAGTACCGACTGAGTCAAGACCGGGCCATGTTGCTCTGATTGCAGGCTTATATGAAGATGTTTCGGCTGTGACAACAGGGTGGAAGCTGAATCCTGTCAATTTTGACAGTGTGTTCAACCGAAGCAGACACACCTGGAGCTGGGGGAGTCCTGATATCTTACCCATGTTCAAGGAGGGTGCTGTCCCTGGCCGGGTTTCTGTTGATATGTACAGTGAAGAGGCAGAGGATTTCACTCGGGATGCTACATTTTTGGATATCTGGGTATTTGACCGTGTTAAGGAAATGTTTGCAGCTGCAAAAGAGGACAAGGAGCTCGATGCACAGCTCAGAGACGATAAGGTTGTGTTCTTTTTACATCTCCTTGGCTTGGATACGACCGGGCACTTCTACCGTCCGTACTCAAAGGAATACCTACATAATATCCAGATTGTCGACCAAGGCGTTCGCGAGATCACTGAGTTGATAGAGGATTTCTATGGCGACAAGGAAACCGCCTTTGTCTTTACTGCCGACCACGGTATGAGCGACTGGGGCAGTCATGGTGACGGTCATCCAGATAATACCCGTACACCCCTTATTGCCTGGGGTTCTGGAGTAGCTAAACCAGTGAAGTCTAAGAAAGGTGTTGTTGCACCTGGACATGAGGACGGTTTCTCCTCAGACTGGCACCTAAACGATATCAAGAGACATGACGTTGCTCAGGCCGATGTGGCTGCTCTAATGGCTTACCTGGTCGGCCTAGACTTTCCCGTCAACTCTGTAGGAGAACTCCCACTCTCCTACTTAGATGCCACTCCAAAGGAAAAAGCCAAAGCTGCCCTCGCCAATACCCAGGCCGTCCTTGAAATGTATCGTGTCAAGGAGGAACAAAAGAAAGCTACTACTATCAAGTATCAGGGGTATTCGTCTTTTACACAACCACAGCGCTCACCGGAGGCTCAATTAGCTGCCATCCGTAAGTTGATCTCGACCCGCAAATACGAGGAATCAATCCTTCAATCTAGAAGGCTGTTCCAGGATGCATTGGAAGGGTTGCGTTACCTACAGACATATGACTGGTTGTTCCTCCGCGCCATTGTAACAGCGGGATACTTAGGCTGGATCGCATATGCCTTGGTCACGGTGATAGACCTGCATGTTCTGCCAACGTCTCCGGAACCTGACCGATCCGTCCCCAGCTTCATGTTCTTTTCGTCTGTGCTCATGGTTCTATACTCTCTTCTATGGGTTCAGCAGTCGACGTGGCGGTATTATGCATATGCATTCTTCCCAGTTTTCTTCTGGGAGGAAGTGTTTGCTCGCCGTGCGGCCCTTGGTGCTGGGCGAAAGATACTCCTAGGCCACGTTAAGTCGTTCACAGGATATGCCATGTTTCTGTTACAAGCTAGTCTATATATCGGGGTTTTACAGGGACTTGTGAGTGCACTCCGCTGTCGATGAATGGTGTGTTTACTAATGGACGCTAGGTTCAATCATATTTCAACAGAGAGATATACACATATTGTTACCTGCTTGGTTCCGTATGGCCCGCTCTATACGGATTCGACTTTTTGAACAAGAATAAGCTACTCTCAGCAGCATGGACCATCAGCTGTATCTGTATGAGCATATTTACCCTTTTACCTGTCGGTAAACAAGACGATGCAGATACTGTGTAAGCTTTTTCAGTTTCGAACGAAAGAATGACTTCCAGTTGCTAACTTTCCTGATTTAGTACCTGCGGAGGTATTCTCATGTTTGCCACTGGAATGCTCTACTTGATATTCGAGGAATCTATCCTTTCATCCTCGAAAATAGGAACTCGTTCGGGAAGCACCTTTAACATCGGGTCACGTATTGTGATGGGGGCTCAGGTATGATTCTATAAAATTGAGGCCTGCGTTTCACGCATACTTACTAGGTGCTAGATTGGCCTTATACTTCTCTCTATCATTGTTACTCGCTCCAGCATTGCATCTCTCCAAGAGAGAGCGGGATTACCTCTTGGTAACCAAGTCACGGGTTGGATTGCAATGGGTAAGTCATCCTCGACATGGCTTCTTATGATTCCCAATCTAACATATCCTAGTATCATCTTTTATCTTACCGATACTACACAAGCTCTTCCCAACAGGACACTACTTCCACCGTCTGATACTCCTGTTCCTCACCTTCTCACCCACCTTCATCGTCCTCACAATCTCCTACGAAGGAATTTTCTACGTCGTGTACTTTGCAACTCTAGTCAGCTGGGTCCGACTTGAATATAGCATCTACAAGCATACATTGCCCTCAATACCCACCAAACCAACTCTCTCCCGAGAAGATACCCCTAGACCTACGTCCCCAGGCTTCAAACCGGTTACACCGAATACCAACACTTCCACATATCGGCCTCTTAACATCTCTGACGCCCGCATTGCCCTTTTTTTCCTCTTCCTTCTTCAATCCGGTTTCTTCAGCACCGGTAACATAGCCAGTATATCTTCTTTCTCCCTCGACAGCGTCTCGCGCCTCATCCCCGTTTTCAACCCTTTCTCTCAGGGCGCATTACTCATCCTCAAAATCCTCGTCCCCTTCGCTTTACTGAGTGCAACCTTCGGCATTCTCAACCGCAGACTGCACGTTGCGCCGTCAGCTCTGTTTATGATCGTCATGTGCATCAGTGACGTGATGACAATGAATTTCTTCTTTATGGTTCGTGATGAAGGGAGCTGGCTTGATATTGGCACTACGATCAGCCATTTTTGCATATCGAGTGCGCTATGCATATTTGTGGCTCTCATTGAGTCCTTGAGCGGCGTGTTCATTTCGGGAGTTGAGTTTGATGGCTATCGGGCTCAATCCGACCTGGGAGAGGAAAAGGACACTGTTTCCACTTAGGCAGTAGAATTTTCCTAGATCCCCCTTACCCTTTCACCAATTTTTCTCTTCTTTTGTCCATTTCCCGCTGTTACTTATGCTACATATTGCATTCTCACGTTCATCCATAATGATTTCCACCTTCCAAGTTATTACCCCCCTTCTTTTGTCTTCGTTAATTCTGGTTTTTTGTTCGAAAAGAATGGGGTAGCCTAAGACTTTTCTTCGCAGAACTATTAGAAAGGACGTCGCTCTTATATTAGTACTTATATTTTGTGGTAGATTTTGCACATACTAAACTTCACTCTTATATAGGTCGGAATAGAAGCTGGTCATTTGCCTTTTCCTACCCGATGTCACATTGTATTGTACCTGGGAATCAAGCATGGCCAAACTCAGACACTATAAACTATGGACTAGGTTTAATGTACATCATTGCTCTGGACGCTGTGATCTGAGTTCGGTAGTAACGACTACGATGCTCACCTTGTAAGTTGTCCCTGAAACGAGAAGCTTAGAAGGTTTGTCAACAAACTCATGCTTCGGTGCGTCTGCCTAGACTAAATAGCTAGTTATGGCTAATTAGGTATGTTTTGTCAGATATACAAGGCTAAGTTAGTCAGCTATTGACCTACATCATCAGAAATTTCATGTACATATACCCCCTTAGCAAGATCCTCATCGTCATCAATTACAAGGTACAGATTCATTCATTCCCGTGTAGCCAATCATCATTAGCTACTTGCACTTGTTGCAGCTTTAGTTAGTTATAGTTGACATTTTGTTTAGAATATTGTGTTGAATAACTCATGTAAGTACGGAAAGGATTTTGATGTGTTTCACAGGTAGATCGAAAGGAAAGATGTTGCTGATTTTTGAAATATGCATTCTGCTCACAGCGAAAGCATGATTGATTATGTAAAACTACGTGGATCCAAGGGCGCGTTGAGGGACCAGTTGTAACCAGGAGTAATCACCCAGTCTTCCTATAAACGGCCATTTAGTTACAGGGTATACTACTCCAATGTAACCTATGAGGGTCTTTTTTGGCACTGGATTGTTATTGCGTTATATCTACTTATGGAATGAATCCCTACTCCCATCACATCTAGGTGGGGTGCTTGGTCGAAAGAACCTGGTGATCGTCGAAGCTAACTAATTCACTAACTAAGTTAGTTAAGTCTGAACCAGCTGGTCGGGTCCAAACTAACTAACTTAAGTTAGTTAACGCCAAGGCGGCGGCCCGGCGTTAACTGACTCAAACTTACTTTCCAATGTTTACTGAACGATATTGACCAGTGGAGGCAGCTATATATGGGAGTTTTACTGAAAGTCAAGCATCCAGATACAAATATAAGCGGGGTGCTCCTTGCTCCTTGCCCCTGCCTTCTTTGAACCAACATTATAAGTATCTCCTATTCGTTAATTTCAGCGCAACGACAGGGGTACATGCGCCTTACCCTTGACATTCTGTTAGAAGTCCCTTAACGACAGCGCGAGTTGTAAACGACCCATGCACTCAACTTAAACTCTCTTGCCCCTATTATGGAGTAACAAGTTATCAATTCCTAACCACCCCTGCCACAAACTAACATCATCTCCCCTGACACAGAGACAGAAGCCCTTAGCTGAGAAAAAAGCGGATACGGAATACATCCGAGCAGCAACTATTTAACTGCCACTAATATAAGTACCCATGTCGGTGCAGAGCATTTTCTCTCTCTCCCCTAGTTCTCTCTTCTTCATTGTCCCTTAGGTCCTCCCACCCCCATTAGCTGTCAAACAAAAATGGCTGATTTCTACCGTGGATTCCATTTTGTTGGCTGGCTGCTTCTGATAGTCTGCAGTTGGGCCGTGGACACACCAACCCCTACATCTCCGCAGACCGTGGAAGTAGACCTAATCTTTCCGCGCAATGAGACCTACGCCCCTATCTCCCTCATGCCGATGGTCTTTGCTATTCAGAACTTCCGCGTTGCAAAGTCTCTCCTACTGAAATTTGATTACACTCTCGAACAGGTCCCATATATCAAAACAAAGCCATTGTATGGGATTAGTGATTTGAAGTACACCAACTATTCAGGCAGCAGGAATCATTTCCCATATGCCTGGACCACCAAGCTTAACAACACGGAGGGCACATGGCTGTTTACCTGGACATTGCGTGCACTTAACTGCTCCCAACCCACGGAGGCAGACCCAGAGGACCCAGGTCCGCAAAAGCCTTTACACCTTGAGACCGTTATCATGAGCAATTCCGTTTACTTTACTACGACACACGGGGCTAAACAGCCAGATCTCGTTGCTGCGACGCAAGATGGCGCCTGCGCTGAGTCACAAGCCGATACCATGAATATCACGGGGATACTAGATGTCCCCTGGTCTGACAGCTATTGGGGAAGTCAGTCTGCATGCCCATTGCTTTCGACCGTAACGCCAACTGCAAATCCCTGTGGAGTCAAGATAGACTCTAGTGCGGCATCGAGTATTTCATATGCCATTCAATCTAGCGCATGTCTATCGGCAGTGACTCCAACTGTGGCCTGCCCGCCTGGTGTTGAGACGGCGAACTCAGCACACCACGTAGAGCAGTTTTTAGTCTCAGTGGCAGGGTTGTTCGCAGCTACACTTGGTTGGCTCATCTTCCTGGCGTAATTCCGACACACTCTATTTATAGGCATTACTGACTCCAGCGTACTTCCAAATAAAGCTAATTCCCCCTGTTCGCGATCAATGACACTTTAGACCTGTACGTAAATTTACAGGGGTTGGCCCACAGGTTTTGTGCGCATGATACAGTTCACGGCTAACCCGGGAGGCTGGGAGTAAGTATGTACATCACCAGTACGGAGTAATATTCATGACGAGACGACCTGCATATCTATCTAGCTCTATGTGAAACCTGTATTATTATTGTAATCTTTGTATCGATTTTTTTATTGGGTATAAATACCCTGGAGCGTGGTATGAAGCAACGGTGTGCAGGAATAAGTTCAGCACTGCACAGTGACATTCATATGATAGCATGCATATACTGTGTTCCATTCTAAGCTTCAAGGGCGTCGAAATAATATCAAGGATAAATTTTCCAATTCAGGGGCGGTAGAGGTGGACATGAGTTCGACTGCTGAAGGTAAAAATATATAACCAGTGCTCGAGACATACAATTTTTCATTTTGCATTAAATTTCACCCACTGCACTCGTTACACCTCATTCCTTTTGTTCTACCGATGCTCTCCGTAGCTCTTGGGGCATTAGGCCTTGGTCTATTTGCCAGCGGGCTCATTGTGCGGGCAAACGCATTATCAGCCAGCTCGCACTACGACAGGAGAAGCTCATGTCCGGCTCGTTGCAGTATCTCGGGGTCAGCCCCTTCCGACTGGTCTGTGTACCCTAACCTCAACCGGATCCAATCCTGCCAGGAACCCCAATTTTATCATTTTAACCTGTATGACGAGGTTGATGATGAAAACGCTTTTCATCGAATCTATGCCTGCACATCCCATGGCTCTGACTGGGATAACGTACCCGAATCGATGGCGGTAAAAGGGCAGTCCATTTGCGAAGATGCTCCTTATGAAATAGGGTGGTGGCCCGAGGATGGCGGCAAGCTTGCTTCCTCCAGTATCCATTCACTGTCTATGCAGTTGCGCCACTATCTGGTAAATGGGTACGGATACCCAAACAAAACAGTGCTACTGTTTGGCTACTCGAACCAAGCCGCCGTTGGCCTCTATATTGGCAAAGGGTTGCAAAATGAAGGGGTCGGCTCATTTGCTCTTAAGGCGCTAGGAGACAGTGTATTAGAGCCAGAGGTCAAGACATCAAGCGTAGCCATGCAACTATGCCAGGCAGGATATGACGCTGATCATATCTTTGGTTTCATAGCCACCAGCAATGGCTCCTTCACCCCTATACAAAGGGCGCTCAGGACTTGGGCCAAGGCAGAGTGTCTCTCCATCACCAAGTCCAAGAATATCACTGGCCCCGCCTACTTCACCACCCCTCTGTTAGGCCCTGCAATAGACTCAGCTCTGCGTGGTAGTAACGCACAACAACCACTTCCGCCAGAAGCAAGCGTCTTTCGGCCCGAGCCGATGGCTGGACAAACCGAGTCCAAACGGGCGAAAGGTGCGGCTCTTTAGCAAAGAAACGTGGCATCTCGGAAGCTCCCATACCGGATAAAGTATGTTTTGCGGCACTACTATCTTCCGTAGCCCGATAATATCTGAATAGAGCTAATATATTTTAATCTAATTAGATATATTAAATAAGTAATAATAGATATATTATTACTTCTTTTAGATATCTTTCTACTATTAATATATATTACTAGTAAGTTATACTATAGATACTCTCTTTATTTTTTTAGATATTTCTAATATATTCGTAAAGTACTACTAGATAAATAAATTACTCTTCTATATATAGAGAATTAGAGGTTATTAGTATTAAATTTAAATATATATTTATTATATCTATTTAATTAATATTATTAGAGATTATTACTAACTATTAATTATTTTTCTAACTTTATAACTTTTATAGAAATATAATATTTTATATATAAATAATAAAAAAATCTCTTTAATAATTTAATTAAATAATATTATTATAAATAATATTAATTAAAATAGTAAAAATAGTAAATTTAATTATAGA